CTGTCAAGACGCTGGCTCTTCTCGTATGTATCTTATTCACTTCCCACGCGGCTTCTGACCTTCAGCCGTGGCCCTGGAGCTGACAGTCAGCCGGGAACTGACGACATGCGCTGTGCTGAATTTTCCGAGAAATGCCAACGCTACTGCGTTACTGGGACATAACCTCACCAGACGTCCAGTGAATGGCTCTCCTGACACACCTCGCTCAGCCTGCCAGACTCATTACGGCGTAAAATGTTTTCCGGACAGGCAGGTCATAGAAATTTATGGCTGATCTGGCGGCTCGCAAATGATGTATTGAGCAACAGGTCTCGGTAAAAAAAGGAATGAAAAAGAAGACAGCGTAATAAGTGGTCGATCAGACAGGACAGAAACTCGACTGAGGAACGAAGAACGCTCCCTTCTCCCGGAAAGCGATAGTTGGGAGTCCCGAGTTAAAGTAATCTTGGAGAGTCCCACTGCGTTAAATAATGTGTTCTCCAAACCCTACCTATCAACGCGGTATCGCTTAATGTGTAAGCTGCGACAGCTAAGCGGGTATCAGCATCGCCAGTAATTGGTTCATTGCTGGCGACAGTAAACCGACTAGTTATATTGTTTAGATGATTTGTCATTGGACTTCGTACAGGGCAAAGCCTGTTGCGGTCTCTAGATAAGTCTATCTAAAATCCTTGAGTTTAGTGCTACCTTTTGTACCAGAGTAAGGTTGTTTCAGTTTAGGCTTCCAAATTAATCTGAAAATTAAGTTTCACATCAAAATGTGTTTCAGATGGTTTCAGTTAATTTTGTACTAAATTGGTCTTCAGGTGCTCTGCTTAAAAATACGAAACTAACACCTTCCAAATGCTCATCACCAGACATGTGCATGGATCCGAGAGCTGGATCTATGATCTCAGTGGATCTCTCGACAAAATAGAGGGGTTGGATCTATGATCCTAGTGGATCTCTCGACAAAATTCAGGGGTTGGATCCATGATCCCAATGGATCTCTCGACAAAATTTAGGGGTCGGATCTATGATCTCTGTGGATCCAGCGGGCAAAAATTTGTGGAGGACCTATGATCTGTATGGATCTCACGACAACATGTAGCCAATGAAACCCTTATCCTACATAATTGTACACCTTACAGTGCAATACAATTGAGAATTGTCACTTGTGGACATGGTTGTTGTAATCATTAGGTATCATCATTAAATTTGAATTTAAATGAACAACATTTGTACTACATTTAAAATAAACCAAGAACATGCACATTGCTACTTTTTGTGACCAATTGTAACTTTTTCATGACAGCACTGATGACAATCTTATCAACAAGCTACAGCCACTTTACTTCAATGAACAAACAGTACAGACAGATGCAGTGGCAGCGGGGCACTGCAGATTTTCATTTTGGTCCCATTCTTTCCATGCAACGCCAGTAGGGCTAATGTTAAAATGCCAAAATCTATGGGGGGCACTGTACCCTGGTGCCACCCCCCCCCCCCCCCCCTGTTCCGCCGCCTATGGACAGATGTTAGGAAATCAAATCTGGAAGCCAAATAGGTCAGTTTTGCTCAAAATAATCCAGCAATCCACTTCTACCAGGTATGAAAACCCAATCTAGAATGTTCGTATGAGCTATTAGTATGTGCAACACAATTTCGATTCAGTAAGAATAGCAACCAACCTGTAATACTTTCCTAATAAAATTACAAGTTCAAAAATGGCATCAACTTCAACTTCAGATTACCTACTTTTGGCATCGTGCCACGTGTCAGTGTGGCCAAGGCCAGTGTGGCGCCATGCCGTGCTGTCGTTATGAGAGAGCCTCCCAAAAAAGACAAACGAAATTCACAGCTCACGTTTTGGTAATATTGTTTTATTACGTCATTATTGTTTGACCAATGAAAAATCTTAATTTGACTAAAGCCGTAATGATTCCAAAAGATTCCCCGTAATAGGCCCTTCAAACTAATGACGTAAGATATTGTGATTCTTTTGAAAAGTGAATAAAATAAAGATGCAAGGCACACACTCGCTTTCAGCTTACGTTTACGTCATAAAATTCATCGCTACAAAGATGATATTCACAAACAATCGTATCGTAAAATTATGTGAGGCAGAAAAAAAATGAACATTCTTTTGAAAAAAACTTCAGACTTTTGAATTTCCAGCTTGATTTTTTATTTCTTTTCATTATACTCGAAGGAAGAACGCTTAGCTCATTTGTTATTTGAAATGACGTCATGAGTTCTATTTAGATACTGAATAATCATTTTACGGTAAATATCCAAGGTCATTCCAATTGATATTTCGCTTCCCATCGCTTCCGCAGGCTGTTGAATATTTTTATACTTTTGTTTATATCTCAGTTTTTTTTAATCAAATATTTCTTTCAATACCTTTACCTAACCAAGCCACATGTGTCAGTATCATCTTTTATTGTTTATCAATCAATAGTGTTAGCTGGAAACTGAAAAGCCTCATGGTTGTCTAATGCAAGATTGTCTTATCAATATCATTATGTAGATTCTAACATGACAAATGTATATTGATAGAGACAAGTAGAAAAACACGGAACAAATAGTGCATGTACAGGTCTCGCGGGTTTTAGCGGTAGGTTTTGCACCTAGAAAATTTAGTGTACTTCAGGCTATATCTTCGTCGTCTTAAGCTTTTAAGTGTTGAAGATGCGATCGACTTGTTGGGTAACAAGCCGGCCATGATCGTGTAAAGTGGCTTCATCGTAGATCGATTAGTTTCTGAGATATAACTGGAAATGTAAAAGTGCAAAACCTACCGTTTAATCTCGCGAGACCTGTACATGCACTATTTGTTCGGTGTTATTCTAACATGAATTGTGATGTGGTAGGTACCTAGTAATGTATTGTTCATTAGTCATTACTTTGACTTACCTCTATGTTAATTGTTAATGCAAACTTTTCTGTTGGTATGTGAACAATCTTCATGTCACTCAATTCTCTCAAGTTGTGACCGTCATGAGCCTCCTTTATTTTGTATTCTGTATAATGTATCTGGATGCCTTTACTAATATGGCCTTTGTATAAGATTGTTTGTTTCTAACCATACTTTGGTATTCATAACTTCTTATGAAAGAAAGTTGTTAACATTTTGAGCACCTATGAGCTATGATCCCAATGGATCTCACGACAAAATTGGGGAGCCAGATCTATGATCCGAGTGGATCTAGCGACAAAATTGAAGGGTCAGATCTATGATCCCAGTAGATCTCTCGACAAAATTGAGGGGTTGGATCTATGATCTGAATGGATCTCGGATCGGGATCCATGAGATCGGATCTCAGATCCATTTTTCCGGATCCAAGCACATGTCTGCTCATCACTAAACAGCCTGTCTGAAGTGAGCCGCGTATGCTCATCAGGTCCAACATAGTTCCCAGCTCCAACCCCGGCTATATCCAGCTCTGTTCGGCCGTTGTGACTGCAGCAGTGGGGGGGGGGGGAGGGAGGGGGCAGCTATAGGCGGTCCCGGGCCGGCCGAGCCAGTCGCATATCGGCCGCGTCGGCCGCCGTGGCTGCACAGAAGCGCCGCCCGATTTAATCTCGGTCCGACTGCCCGTTCCCCGGCTGATTTGGTCGCGGCGGGCAAATGCCACTGCTGTGCCAGACCGTTGTTCGTTGTGAATGTCGCTCCGATCGTCAATGGCCCCGATTTCCGCCATAATTGCCATCTGACTGCCAAATAGCGCTCTTAGTGAACTGTGGAGCGTTTGAGCGAAGTTCGAAATTGCGCTGTGTAATCGGGACAGTTAATTCTCTATAGCCAGCCTGAGCGACATGCTAATGATACGCCCGCGTTGGCTCGGATCATCCGGGTGATGGCATGCTACCGTTCTGAAGTGTCTGTATTTCGGGTTGATCACGCTAGACTGAAGCTGGGTTGTATTGTCTCGGTGATTTGTGATGCAAACTTCTAGTGATGCAATTTGGTTTGTGTGTTGAGCTGAGCATAACTTTCATTGAATCGGTGTTTCTCAGGATCAATACACATTTGTTTATTCTGCCTGCTCCTTTTGTGGTGTTTAATTGGGGAACAATTTCAGTGCTGATCTTGATTACACGATCAGAACTTTGGCGGCACCACTTATCGTTTGTTTCATCGCTTGACATCTGGCTTTAATTTTGCCACGCAGATGACAAATTGCTGTGATATGTCCTTCTAATGAAACTGCAGTGGACGTTTCATTTCCAGCCTTCTCTAGTAAACGATCGCCCTAGTGCGTGCTTTTCGCATTAGTCCAGTTGCTGTTTTGTTGAATCTTTTGGATTGTGCCGCCTTGCTAGGTTCGCTTATCCACTTGGTTTTTAGATGGGCAATCGTCCGAGGAATGCATGTTATAGTACATTTATATTAGGGGAGCCCTTTAAATTGAATTGAGTTGCACGAGCAGCATTGCAACGGTTACGGCCATTGTTGAATTGGGTACCACGGTTCAATCAAAGGTCTTGGTTGAAAGGAACCCCCTGTTCAGATGGTTAGCCACATGCAGCCCAATGGACAAGGGTGGTTGTATGCTGACGATGTGATATGTCCCTTTTTTGAGAGTGCAATTCGTTTAAACTTGGGGCGTTGCACTGTCACGTGTTCCTGGAATATATTTTATGGTATCATCAATCATCATTCGTGTTTTACCTTCAGTGAAATAGTCAGCGAAGTTTGAAAATGATGGTGACTTCTTGATAAAACATTTTTTTACACAAGGATCTTGAAATGTCATTGTATGTGTTACTCTTCTGTGCACTACAACATGATCACCAGTTGCGTCTAACTGGTAGCAGCTGCTATGATACTTCACTGGCACAAGGGAGCGTCAAGGCGTTGAAAAACGGAGCGTTAGGCCACTGATAGATTCAGCCGAGCATCACGTTACTGACTCACTGACTCTGACAGTGTTATTCTGCGCCGGCGTGCTTGTATGCGTGTATTTGACCGTGACGTGCGTCTGACGTCGTCCTCCCCTCCCTGTTGTTGGCAGCCGGCAAGATGCTGCGTCGACGCATTCCACAGGCTGGTCACCTGATGACCTCCAAGTCACTGTGGATGACGGAGGTGCCCACAGAGGTAGGTGTCCTAATATCGGACGTCAGTGAAAACATCGCATCGTATTTCCGGGCTTGCTTCGGGTGGTAATAATAGTGAATAAAATACAGTCAGGTAGTTTGATCCTCTCTGACTCAAAATTACAGCGTCATTTGGCATGTAAAGTATTTATAGTAATTGCTAGATCCAACGCAAAATCGGTGCTTCAATACAATTCCATTCAATTATTCGTACATTTCCCAGCACATTGAGAATTTAGTAGAGCTGCCCTACCCCGACTCCCGGCGCGTATGCCGACTGCCCCCGGCCCAGCCGGCCTGTCGACATGGAGCGGGTATCGACTGGCGGCCACTCGGTCACCTCGACATGTCGTTGGTCTGTCTGCGCGAGCGACGGCTCGGGTCTGGTGATGGAGTGGCCGCCCCGAGAAGGGGGGGGGGGGCGGAGCGAGGGGGTACCGACCGACCGACGGTCATACTCTCGCTGACCTTCCAACGCAGGCATGCGCGCAGTCAGTCGACGGCCTCACGTACACGAGTCGGTAATGTTAGTTCGAATGCTCGCCAGGTTGCCATGGCCACGCTCTGATGAAGTAATGCGCTTTCAGCCCTGGGCTCTGGACCTCCGGTCTGCATTGGACTATAATCCGTTCTGGCTGTCCCAAGCAGCCGTTGTGGCGATTGTATGATAACTACGGAGTAATTCAACGCCATGGAGCGCCCGTCAGAAGCGGGCGGCGTCGAGAGCCGGGGTGGAACCGCTCAATGGCGGCTCGCCTGGCGGCAGAGTGCGAGCACGTACAGACCATCAGCCACGCCAATACAGCTCAATAGTCCGATACGGCCGCAGCCGCGCCGGCCGGCCGAGCGGGAGCAGGCTGTTTACTCGTTTGCCTAATTGGAATTAGCGGTGCTACTCCAGTGCGCTTGTCCGTCGAGAAATACGCGAGTCGGGATAGATTGTGCATGTGCATACATAGCTATTGATTTGCGATAGTGAGAGAGCAAGCCTGCGGCGTAGACAATAATGATGGACAAATATAAACGTTTTTTCCTCATGCCACCAAAGATAGTGTTCCACAAAAAAACATTTGGCTGCGTCGCTGATGTGTTTTGCGTGGTGGGCGGCGCCGTGTGACAGCCCTTTCTCCGTCTGTCGATATGGGTGCATTGTGGCGTGGCGGCCGTCCCGGGGACGCACAAAGGCCCGGGGAGCGGCCGGCCGGCGGGCATTGTCGGCCTGACCGGACGGCCCGCCGCCGTCGCCGGCGCCGCGGGGTGCTCACCGTGCCGCTCGGTCGGTCGGGAAACTGGGTCTGCGCCGGAACTGGCTGCGCTGAGACGGTTACTGAGAGACCGGGATGGTGGGATGGTAGGATGATTGCAGGCTAGCCGCGACACGCAGGCGTGGTATCCGCAACGGAGTCGGCGTTTGATTCGCTGCTCAGACTAGGATACGCTCGCGATATTGTGATTACATCGTTCTCACGCGGGTGGACACACTGACACTGATCATCCGCCTCATCAATCAGTGTCTGCGTATAGCCGTCAGTGGCAAAAAAGGGAGGGGAGATGGTCCGATTACTACAGTCGGTTGGAAGGGGCCGCGCGTAATCGTGGCATCTGCCAATGCGGCACTTCGTAACGATAATTTTTTATTGCCTATCATAATTATGGATGACCAGTGAAATTTGCATTTAATGTGTTACTTTAGAGAAACATCCCGACTTCGTACGTCGCTTGGACGTATTCAGCGCTTTACTACGTTCCTATATCTAAATTTGTCATATTTCCTTCATGCGAGAAAGTCGTGTCATGGCGCGTGGAACCTGACCTGTCACTCGTCTGTCATCATCGTAGTACATCGATGGGGTGGCGTGTCACACGAACCGGCGGAGCCACACGCCAGGTCGTCACGATCGGTGACAGCCTGTCGGTGAAGGGGAGGGGGTGGAGGGGTGACTCTGGGAATCAGAGGCCAAAACGCCGTGACGACATTTGGCAGCTAATATCGACTGGCGCGCTGTTATAAGTCGGTACGACCGGACGCAGTTTTTTCTTGCTTGCTTCGATTAGCTTTAGCCTGAAACTAGCCATAATCTTAGCGAAGAAGCGGCGGGAATGCTGTCATTGTGGTTTTCTTGACCTTTTGGTTGGCCGGGTGTGTCGCTTTGGTCGTTTTTTTTAGTCGGGTGGTAGGAGAACAATCGCTTATCTTTTCCCTAGGACTGCGAGGCGTTGAGATTATTTTCAGCAGGACTGCGACGTTCTGGTGACATTCTTGTGATTATTTCCCCAGGGCTGTGACGTGTTGGTGACGTTTTGCTGACTTTCTCCCCAGGACTGTGATGTTCTGGTGACATTTCCCGCTCGGACCTCTGAGGAGACGGTCGAGTGGTTCATCAGCCGGATACGACAGCGAACCGACCTGATCGTCACCGCCAGACAGCACCCGGCCGACAACACCTACCGACTATATGTGACGGCCACCACACAGAGGTAAGACTCACAGTCCCAACAACAACACGTCACAGTCCCAACACTCGGCCGACAAGTCGTACCGATTATATGTGACGGCTTCGACCCAGAGGTGAGACTGAACCCAACACAGTCGCTGCATCCGGCCAACAGCACGTACCGACTGAATGTGACGGCCACCACCCAGAGGTGAGATGGAACTCGTCACAATACCGACAATAACCTCAGTGATCCATCACAATCCCTGAACACTGCCGGACAACACGTACCGACTCTATGTGACGGCCACCACTCAGGGGTGAGACTGAACCCGCCACAGTTCCGTCATCAGTGACAAAGCATGCTCCCGTTATCTGGCCGACAACACGTACGGACTGACGTGACGGCCACAACGCGGAGGTCAGACGGAAACCGCCACAGTTACGTTAAATTTCACATCGCAGCCCCATCAATACCGCATTTCAATCCCACCGATAACACATCACAGTCCCACCAATAACGCATTACAGCCCTACCAACAAGAATACTAACAACACAACAATACCAACATCTTATGCAGACTCCCTACGAAGCGCTCAACACGCCACGGCAATGCGTTTCTTTCCGCGGCCGAGCCCAGGAACGTCAGCCTCCCCTCCACGCTGTCTTGGGCCGTGGCTGTCGCGTCGGTTTAGTTCGCGTCGCCACTGTTGCGTGACTCGCTATTTTTTTCTCACCATAATTGTGTTTGCTTCGTTCATTACTCCCTCCTTCACCGGTGCGCTCGTGTCCCTTTTTTCGTGTCACTGTCAGGTTCGTTTTTAACAGCAGGACACTTTGAAGTCCACAGAGCTGCTGGACAGTTAGTCGTCGTAAATATAATAACGCCATTTACCCACGCTAGAAACAAGCTTGGGTTAGCTCCAAACGCAACATGATTCCAGCACAATCTAACCGAATCTGCACCCGAATTATCTTACCTCTTACATGCATTGCGAGACTAGCCCCAATACCTCTACCCTTCTCTCCCTTTCCCGCCTGCCCACTGCTCTTTTCTGCCCACCCAAATTGGAGTGGACCGGGCGGGGTCGCACTGGCCAATGTCGGTAGCAGCAGTCGTCCATTGTGGTGCGCGGCGGCCGGTCCGATATTTCCTCCGGGCTCAGATTGAGCTCATATGTCACCTGTCTTGCTGATCACGGCCGCAGCGTGTGGCCGCCGCGCTGTGGCTTGGTGGCGACGGTCTCTGGCTGTGACGGCGGTGGGCATAGGACGGGGAGAGCAAGAATCACTGGTCTACATTGGCTTATTTTTTATCATAAGGGTTTGATGGCACGCTGACTGCTAAGATCATCTTGCGCGGTGCGCCCATATGTTCCACTGACTCTCAGATTCTCTATATTTATTGAGAAGTTTGTGACTGACTCATATGTAGATGTGTGTACTCGTGATGAGAACAGTGGTAAAGTTGTCTTCCTAAACGCTATGAACAGTTAAGCAGATAACATACATATGCTTTTTATCGTTATTAGAGAAACTGTACCGCCCTTTGACCTGTCATCTGACTCGCCCTTCCTCCTCTCCGCGCAGCCTGCTGAAGTGGGCCGAGCTGACGGAGCTGCCGAAGCGGATGACGTCCGAGCACGGCGGCGGATTCAAGGAGTTCACCCTGCAGAACGCCGGCTTCTTCGAGGGGTTCGAGGACAAGGAGTCGTTCCTTACTAACCAGGTGGGCACGACAGCAGAGCTGTCCCAAACGGTCGTCGGCTAGGCGGCGAAATTAGTTCCGGAAGATGTTAATGGTTGAACTAAATTAAGTTGCGCCAGAACTAGTTTGACTCTCGCGACACCATGTTCGATTTCGTTTTAACAATTGTTCTTGGTGAGCGTCGAAGTGCTTTCTAATCAGGACGGATGTATGTTTTTATGTAGCGGATTTCGATCAATATGTGTCAGGTACTGAAAAACGTCATCTTGTAAAACCCTGACACCGTTATTTATCAAGGTCTTATAATATTTCATTCTGCGTCTTGTTCTTTGCACTTCACTGTATTCGTTGAAAACGTCACACTTTTCAGGTTTACTATTGAAAGCTCACAAATGAACGTTTCTCAGGTTATCTGAGATTTGACATGCCATGAACGAATGACCAATGTAAAAAACTTTGACAAAGTCGCTTGGATGTCGTAACAGATGTATTGCTCTATGATATTAACGTTATTATCTTCAAAGTTTTTATTGTCAAGACGAGAGATGTTTGAGAGGACTGTAGTAATGTCCTCGTTTCTATTCTCTGGCAAAGTGTCCAGCTTGTTTGCCACTTCCGAGCCAGTGGGGCCCGTTTCCACTGCCGGGAGTTGACTTGGGTCCGCCCACCCCTTGTTTTGGCTCGGGCCGCTTGGCACAGCTCCAGCCCTATTTCCTATTGGCGGCGCCGCTGCAGAGGGCCCGTTGAGCCGGGCCTTGATAGCCCACTGGCTAGTTTATCGCGACACGTGACTCATATATGGCTGCGGCGGACAAATTGGGAAACGCACAGCCAGTGACTGAGCATACGTCGCTATGAGCATAAAACAGGGGATATGTCGTGTGCGTTCCATGTTTGAAAAGTTGATGATGTCATTCTCATTTCTTTTTATGCTTTGTTGCCAAATAGGCACCGATTGGTTCCCGAATTTCTTGGTGAGCCCACGTAAAAATCAGGATTTTGGCTCTGGTTTGGTCTGCGGTGGAATGGAGGGCGACGTGGATCTTCCCCGGGAAGTGGAGAGGGAAACTGATGCGTGTCGGGGCAGCCGACGAGCGCCATTTGTATGTAGAGGCGGCCGTTGCCTCCTCACCAGGCGAGTGGAGGATTTTTGACGGCGACGTGGTGGAGAAAAGCGCCTCCTTCGAGCGGTGCCTCCGCCGCGGCACCGCCTCTGAAGCGGGCTTTATGGGGCTTAGCGAGTCGAGGGACCAATATACTCAGACCCTGGGGCGTGTCCCGACTGCGTGGTGCGGCGCTCTTCCGACCAGTGACCGTATGCGCGTGTGGACGTGCGTGTCCGTCCGCTCGACCTGCGGAGGCGTGCCCCTGAGACGGCTCCCGGATCGAACCGAATCCGATTACCCGGCGTGCCGGCCGTCTGAGCCCCGGAGAGTTATGGCGGCGACCGGGCCGGGCCGGGCCGTTCCAGAAGGGCCGAGGCTAATGTCGGAGCTGCGGTCGCCGCGGGCGCCGCGCGGGCGGACGAATGTAACGGCCGGGACGACTCAGAAGACAGCCCTCAGTCGGTTAAATAGAGCGTGGTGCCGCCGTCGGGCCTGTCCGGGAACCCGCGACAGTCTCACAATGGGGCTAGTAATGGGAACTCCGAAATCCGTTCCAGACATAGCAATGATTGTGAAAATTATAAAACGAAGCAACAATGATTTTAGCGCTGTTATTGCGTAAGGCTTAACAATATTGACGGGCGACAATGATCAGGTATATCTAATTGCTTGGCTAAGTGCTATTAAATCACACAAATTGTCCATTGCCACAGTGAACACATCACCCTCACCAATGCTATTTACTGACCACGTTCACGAATTGTTTTTTGTTTGCCTTTTCTGTCTTTTCTGCGCCACATACTGGCTCCCTCTCCCCTGTCTTCTCCCGGTCTCCTGTCATCTGCCGTCTTAGGGACGGCGCGCTGGCCGGTGGAGATTGCGTGGGGATTGACGGGCGTGGTCGGATGATAATTGGCTACCTCTCTCCTCCCCTGCTCTGTTATTCTCTTCTCCTCTCCTGCTCTCGTTTTTCCTCTCCTCTCTTCATCCTCTCCTCTCCTCTCATCTCCTTTTATCCCTCTCCTCTTTCAAAGTTCAATTGTCATCCTCTTCACTTCCTCTTCACTTTTCTTCCTTTCCCTCTCCTGCTTATCCTCTTCCTCATTAGCATTGTTCCTCAGCATTATGAACACCGTTGCCTGAACAGCCTGTTATGAACTATTTCGGTCTCTAGAGAGCAGCCGGAGTAACCCATGCCCCTCCCTTCCACAGGAGAGACAGTCCCTGGTGCTCTGTATGATCAACAACCTACGGGCAGCACGCAGTGAGCAGGTGTGCGGTCTGAAGCTGATCGAGGGTCAGGCCATCAGTGAGTACCCACCTACCACCCACTCCCCGGCCCTTCCATAGGCCGTGCGTGTCAGGGTGTCGTGCCCGACTCGTCGGCTCTCACGCCTGTATTAATAGGCCCGCTCGGCAGTGATTCTCTGGGTGGTCAATATTTGTCGGCCGTCTGTGGCGATTATTAGTCACGCGAGAGCCACGTTGCTACTCATAATACTACGATATGTGTGTGGCTATCGGGGAGGCTGGTTGGCGATGGCTGAATTCACGGCCAGCGCATGGCCATGACACTGAGCTTGTTCCTACTAATATCCTGTGAAAATGTGCGGCGAATCGTCATGTGCGTTCTGTTTGTGACACCTTGCGCTACTTTGCCGGCAGTTCCAAAGTGTCTGTCGCGTGGTATCGTCTCTCAAATGTTCCCGCTACACGACCTGCCCAAGCTGAAGCGACTCAACACGTCCTGGGTGCGAGCCTTCACCAAAACTCAGCCGCTCGGTAAGGAGGGACGGGCCGGGATTCAATCTGATAAGCGATGTGAGCTGGTCCCTCAGGGCTCTGCCGCTCTCTGGCTCTCTGCTTTCACAGAGAAAGAAGAAGTTACTAAAATGATATCGACCCGTAATTTTTTGATGAGCAAAATATTCATGTTCATGCCATACAAAGAGTGTTATAGTTTGGAAGTACAGTGTTTTCAAAGAAAATGTTATCTCAAGGCTAGTGTCAGCTGCCCAGTGGAATCGTCAGACCCCGCCTCCGTCGCCCACCCCCCCCCCCCCCCCGCCCTATCCTCTCGAGACCCCCCTAACCAGCTGAGTCCGGTTATTGGAGGTCAGCTGCCCGCCAGGGGAATGACATTTCCTCCGAGACAAACTTGGCGACCCAAACCCCGGCCAAAGTTCAATGATTGAAGGCACGCTGTGACCGCGAGACAGCATTTTCATTGGCAACAAAGTAAGGTCAATGAAGCGGCTCAAAGTTTAAGTTTGCTGACGAGTTGGCGAAGCGTGCCGGCTAGTTGATGTTTGACAATCTCACCACTGAAAGCGATTTATCGCTCATTTGGTTTTAAAATGGTTGTTGAATCGAGATATCGTGATTCGTGGTATTTGATGTTAGATTTAAATAAGGCTGGCCGTATGATGCCATTCAGTTCACTTCAAAAGCTCAAGCGCGCTTTGCGATTGCTTTGCGTAAACAAATTTCGTAGATCTGAGGAAAGCGCGACGCGGAAAAGCTGCACCAAAGACTCAACTTCGAGTTTCCTATGTGATGAATGCTCTTAGCATGTACGAGTATTCAAACTGGGACTGGCTATAGACAGAAGAAACTGCGTCAGAACTCTGGGAACGGCTAGCCCCCGCCGCTGCTGCTGGGCTGGCCGGGCGGGGCAGCGGGAAATCGAATCATGGAAACGGAATCAGCCGGGCCGCCGTGTGGCGAGCGAGGCCCTCCTCCGAGTTTGTTTGGTGGGAAGCTGCCAGCTGTGCCGCTCTGGCGACGCAGCTCGGGTCGCCGTGCAGTTGCGTGGGCCGCGGTGCCATTTTAGCGTCGGAGTTCGGCGATTGTGCCACTTGGGCGACAAAGAACGTGAGGCAGCCCGCAAGGGATTCGATGCGAGTCTTATGATAAGATGTGTTGCTCTGGAAATGCCGAAGAATTGATGATTTGTGTTGGTGTTGTGCCAATTTTCCGACTCTCATCGGTCCATATGTAGACTGCTTGTGTTGTGTGGCCCATGTTTTTCATATCTACTGGTTTTTAGTGTCTGAACTATTTCGTTCGACGAAATATGACGGTGGCAGCTAGACTCATAAATTTCTGATCGAACATAAATCGAGTAATAAACCGGCTTTTGTTGTCCATGGTCTTGGCGAAGTGCCTAGAATATAAAATAGCACTTTGCCGGTGCTTCGATCTCTCGCGCTGAGTGCAGCTGCTGTATCTATGTGGGGTAGATGGTCTTGGGCTCATATCTGCTTTTGGAGTCTGTTGTCTTGACTTCCTTTTTGCGAGTCCATGGTCGAAGAAGTCTGTTCAAGAGAAACTGAGAGGGACGTGGCTCACAATTTTAGCAGACATAAGTACGACCAAGCATTGGTATCTCAAGGACGTGTTCTACTATTGTGCATGTGCTCCCGAAATTTGTCCTATTATAAAAATATTCATGTGACAGGCTGTCGTAGCCCTGTGTTTTATCCGCCAATACCCACCAAAGGCACGCTATGTTATCGTCGTTCAGCCCGCTCGGCGTGGTCGCCGGCCGGTGCCGGTCAGGTCAGAGCCAGCGCTGATGTATGTGCCTGGATTAGTGGCCGACGCCACCATAACGCAGCGTGTTGAATGATGGTCGGCACCCGTCGAGCAGGCCCGGCTGGGAATATTCACACCGGGTTGTATAACAATCACCCAAGGTGCGCCGAGAAGCTGTGAGGGTGAGGATTCCGATGGGCTGTTTCCCGACTTTGCGTAAGATACGGTATTATGGTGGTTATATGTTGCGTAAACTGACATTTTATCACATACCCTAGTTAGAGTTTCACAAGCTTTTGCTAGTGATGTGATATTTGGTTGATACTTTGCGTGGACAATTTATCAGCTCGGCGGAATGCACTGATGCTGTCCAAGACGTTGCGGATATTGCTCAAAGTGCCCTCAATTTCAAATGGGTCATTTGGGAACATAAAACTGTCCCGAGAGATATTGCTTGAACAGAGTTTAATATCACGCGACAATTTATCCATCCTATCATCAATAATCCATAGGCTTGTGTCTCCGAGAAAATGTTAAGTCATGCTTTGACATATTTTATTTGACGGCGTAATATTCATTGGACTTTGTGGCATTGCTAGCATACTTATATATGAGCGCGCTGCAGTCGTTTTTACTGATTTTACATGTTCACCATTCGCAAGATACTGGTAAGCAGACTCAATACGGCTTCGAAACATTTTCGTGTGTTTAAAGCAGACATGTGCTTGGATCCGGAAAAATGGATCTGAGATCCGATCTCATGGATCCCGATCCGAGATCCATTCAGATCATAGATCCAACCCCTCAATTTTGTCGAGAGATCTACTGGGAACATAGATCTGACCCCTCAATTTTGTCGCTAGATCCACTCGGATCATAGATCTGGCTCCCCAATTTTGTCGTGAGATCCATTGGGATCATAGCTCATAGGTGCTCAAAATGTTAACAACTTTCTTTCATAAGAAGTTATGAATACCAAAGTATGGTTAGAAACAAACAATCTTATACAAAGGCCATATTAGTAAAGGCATCCAGTTACATTATACAGAATACAAAATAAAGGAGGCTCATGACGGTCACAACTTGAGAGAATTGTGTGACATGAAGATTGTTCACATACCAACAGAAAAATTTGCATTAACAACCAGTAAAACGCCTTTTGGGCGAAGAACGAGCGAGCGAGATAGTGAGCCCTGCACGTGCAGAAGGGCGAGAGGGTACTTCCAACGGGCTTGTGCAAAGCACCCTTCTAACCGGTCGCTAGCGGTGTACCAAATTTGAACGCAATCGGCCCAGCCGTTCCTGAGATCTGGAAGCGGCATTCTGCACGTGCGCACGTGCAAACGGGGTCCAAAATGACTTTTGCACGGCACCCTACTAACCGGTCCCCAACCGTGTACCAAATTTGAGCGCAATCGGCCCAGCCGTTCTCGAGATCTGGAAACGCCCCCTGCACGTGCGCACGTGCAGTAGCACCCTAACCGCAACACATGGGAATGCATTGCCTGGTGGGTGCCTACCTGTATGCCAAGTTTCAGCGAAATCGCCCCAGTAATTACCGAGTTACTGAAATGGGAACAAATTTGGCACCTCTTATTGTTGTATTTTGCACGTGCAGTGGGGGTCACTCACATAGATGAAGAGTATCCGACCTTTGGTAGAAGGGATGCAGCTGCCCTATAAAAATGACCGCAAGACAATCGCTCAAGCCGCTGCTGAGATATGGGCCTCTCAAAATCATTACTTTTGCAAAACTGCTTGAACACCCTTGACTTTTCACGTGGCACGTGCCACGGCGGTCACTGAGATGTATCAAAGGTAGTCAATTACGGGGTAGAAGGGATGGGGCTACCCAGCAAAAAAGACCGCAGGCCAATCGGTCCAGCGGTTGCTGAGATATAAGCCTCTCAAAAGCGTTACAGGCCGGGCCGGGCCGGGCCGGGCCGGGCCGCTCATACTGAGATTTTTCCGTTATATTGAAAAGACTTCGCTTCGCTCGCTGCGCTCGCTCGCTCGTAATTAACATAGAGGTAAGTCAAAATAATGACTAATGAAGAATACATTACTAGGTAGTAGGTACCTAGGTACCACATCACAATTCATGTTAGAATTTACATTCTACATAATGATATAGAGGATTCTTCATGGCTCCGAGTGGAAGATAAGGATATCTTTTCCAAGCGGGTTACTGAAAAACCGAGCGACGAAGGAGCGAGGTTTTTCTGTAACACGCGAGGAAAAGATATCCGATCTTCCACGAGTGAGCCATGAGGAATCCTATATCTTTCTATGTTGAGGTTTATTCTTATTTAATTAAACATTATATTTAAATGTATTCATCTATGTAAAAATAGATTCAGAGTAGTTTGTTCTTATTTCATAAGTTTCATTCATAAACAATCAATAAAATTGTCGTTCGGTCATTGACCCATCATCACTTGAAGTCTTGATTTTTGGCTATGAACCCTCGAGACCTTATCTTTGCATCTCAGAGGGATGCAGAGATAACAAATTCTTATCTTTGCATCTCAGAGGAGTGCGAGATAGAAATATCCCTGCACTGTAGACCCAATGGCAAATAAACCTCAACTAGAAAGATAAGACAATCTTGCATTAGACAACCATGAGGCTTTCCAGTTTCCAGCTAACACAATTAATTGATAAACAATAAAAGATGATACTGACACATGTGGCTTGGTTAGGTAAAGGTATTTCAATCCATTGAAAGAAATATTTGATAAAATAAACTGAGATATACCCCGCGTTCGATGTCTCTCGGACGACGAAGATTCTACGCCGTCCGGCCAATCACGTTCTATAACCGCAGCCGAGCCCCCGCTGACCTTGAACGGGATTGGCCGGACGACGTAGAATCTTCGTCGTCCGAGAGACATCGAACGCGGGGATAAACAAAAGTATAAAAATATTCAACAGCCTGCGGAAGCGATGGGAAGCGAAATATCAATTGGAATGGCCTTGGATATTTCCCTCAAAATGATTATTCAGTATCTAAATAGAACTCGTGACGTCTTTTCACATAACAAATGAGCTAAGCGTTCTTCCTTCGAGTATAATGAAAATAAATAAAAAATCAAACTGGAAATTTAAAAGTCTGAAGTTTTTTCAAAAGAATGTTCATTTTTTTCTGCCTCACATAATTTTACGATACGATTGTTTGTGAATATCATCTTTGTAGCGATGAATTTTATGACGTAAACGTAAGCTGAAAGCGAGTGTGTGCCTTGCATCTTTATTTTATTCACTTTTCAAAAGAATCACAATATCTTACGTCATTAGTTTGAAGGGCCTATTACGGGGAATCTTTTGGAATCATTACGGTTTTAGTCAAATTAAGATTTTTCATTGGTCAAACGATAATGACGTAATAAAACAATATTACCAAAACGTGAGCTGTGAATTTCGTTTGTCTTTTTTGGGAGGCTCTCTCATAACAACAGCACGGCATGGCGCCACACGTGGCACGATGCCAAAAGTAGGTAATCTGAAGAAGTTGATGCCATTTTTGAACTTGTACCTAATTTCATTAAGAAAGTATTAGAGGTTGGTTGCTATTCTTACTGAATCGAAATTGTGTTGCACATACTAATAGCTCATACGAACATTCTAGATTGGGTTTTCATACCTGATAGAAGTGGATTGCTGGATTATTTTGAGCAAAACTGACCTATTTGGCTTCCAGATTTGATTTCCTAACATCTGTCCATAGGCGGCGGAACAGGGGGGGGGGGGGGGGTGGCACCAGGGTACAGTGCCCCCCATAGATTTTGGCATTTTAACATTAGCCGTACTGGCGTTGCATGGAAAGAATGGGACCAAAATGAAAATCTGCAGTGCCCCGCTGCCACTGCATCTGTCTGTACTGTTTGTTCATTGAAGTAAAGTGGCTGTAGCTTGTTGATAAGATTGTCATCAGTGCTGTCATGAAAAAGTTACAATTGGTCACAAAAAGTAGCAATGTGCATGTTCTTGGTTTATTTTAAATGTAGTACAAATGTTGTTCATTTAAATTCAAATTTAATGATGATACCTAATGATTACAACAACCATGTCCACAAGTGACAATTCTCAATTGTATTGCACTGTAAGGTGTACAATTATGTAGGATAAGGGTTTCATTGGCTACATGTTGTCGTGAGATCCATACAGATCATAGGTCCTCCACAAATTTTTGCCCGCTGGATCCACAGAGATCATAGATCCGACCCCTAAATTTTGTCGAGAGATCCATTCGGATCATAGATCCAACCCCTGAATTTTGTCGAGAGATCCTCTCGGATCATAGATCCAACCCCTCTATTTTGTCGAGAGATCCACTGAGATCATAGATCCAGCTCCCGGATCCATGCACATGTCTGGTTTAAAGGCTCGGGGACCACCTATCCATTTAAGCATTTAAGTACAAAGACTCGGCTAACTAGTTTAAAAAGCTACCGTGCCATGGAAAGCTTAACAATGAATAACCAATTTTCCCGGTTACCGCTAGTCACATATCTCCTCCGAGTGACCACCAGCCAGACGGTCTGACGGGACCAGATCGTTGGCGTCATGCCCCAATCACAGCCAATCCCAGCAGTGACCGACGAGATCGCTGCATCATACCATCTATCGCGGCCGCATCCGACAGCTGTCTGTAACACGGCAGCGCTCCATCAGCGAGACGATTTTTACTGCTCCCGCAGCCCACGACCGTGACTTTCTGCGACTGTCTGCCGGATTTTTACAGATTCATTTATCTGATTAACCCGCGCGGGGCTGGGGTCTCCAGCCGAACGCGCGGGGCTGGGGGGGGGGGATAAATTTTACCCCCCCCCCCTGTTATCTCCCGAACTAATGGTCCGATTTGGAAAATTCAAACGGCAATCGAAAGATCTCATCACGAACAACTAAAAACATGTACTTAATTTTAAGTTTGAGGTCAAGGTCAAGGTCAGGTCAAGGGTACAAATTGCAAGTTCCTACAGTATCGGCCTTGCACCGTAGTTGCCGAAGAATGGAGTCATGGACTGAGACTGATCGCCCAAAACGTGTTCTTAGGCTACCAAGACAATATCCGTTGCATAAGATATCATTCAGAGGTCAAGGTCAAGGTCAGGTCAGGTCAGGTCAGGTCACCAAAAACAAAATATAGAAAAGGGCATGTGCGACACATGTTTTATGGGTCATTTTACTCATAGAATTCAATAGGCACACTCAATAAGTGATATGGACCACCTCTGGATGAATTTCAGGCCGAGGTCAGGTCAAGGTCAGGTCAAGTGAGGTCAAATTTTGAGGCTGGTTGTTAAGGCCTAAAAAGGTGTCTATCTGATGCAGTTTTTCACGGCGAATCGAATGGTGCTATTTTTGTTTCCGTACGAGGTCTAGAACTTCCAAAAAAGTCATTTTTCAAAAAATTTGTGTGTCGTGACGTCATACAATTTTGAATAACTCCCACATTTTTGAACCGATTCTTCTAAAACTTGGTATGTAGGTGCACATAGACCACTTCTCTTACATATATTCCGGTTTTTTTGATACACTCAAAATTTTGGATTTTATAGTTATTTTCCCAAAAAAGTCAGTTTTTTGAAAAAATTTGGGCTAAAATCCAAAATTTTCAAAAAACCGAGATAGCCATTTGATAGACAAAGTAGAATTACGTATATCCTTTTTTGTTACGTCTCGATTCCTTTAAAAATGAAGATGTTAGCGGCGTTTGAACTTTTGCCGTTTTTGAGGCGAAAATGGCGAACATGACGTCACTAAAACGTCAATTTCTCAAAAATTTTCCGACGGATTTCGCTCAATTTTTCAGGGAACGTGTCAAATTGATGTAAGAAAAGGTACTGAAAGTTTGGCGGCGCTGCGCGCCGCCGTTTTTGAGATATTGCAAATATTCGCGAGGGGGGGTAAAATTTACCCCCCCCCCAGCCCCGCGCGGGTTAACCCGCGAGTTGCTGGGGGGGGGGCGTTAAACGCCCCCACTTTTTTCGCCGGGCCATAGCATAAAAACGGCGCGCCGCAGGCGCGCCAAGTTTTGGGTACCTGTAGGGAATTGATTGAAGTTTATTATGACAAAGTTTCAAAAAAATCGGTCGGGAAATTTTTGAGATATCGAGGTTTTAGTGACGTCAAGATTTCTGAGTTTTCGACCAAAAACGGCATATGTTCTAAAAATCATATAAAATCACAAAATAGACATACAGACATGCCGGAAACGCCATTAGACTGCTAATACCATGAACAATGAAATGGCTATCTTGGATTATTGATTATTGTTTCGCATTTTCCAAAATCTTGAACTGAATCTTGGCAATTTCTCGTGACTACTGCACGACCATGATGCATGCATTTCTTAAATTAAACTTTTTGAGCCAAACACGTACACATATGATAAAATGAATGTCACCATCGTGTTCTACGCCCCAAATTACCCATAAAACATGTGTCACAGGCTGCGAATATCAGTTTTGATTTTCGGGGATATGTGCCTACCCGGTTGACCTGACCTTGACCCTGACCTATGCTTGACTGACCCCTACATGGAGCTGACACTCCTGTAGGCCTTATATGATGGATTGTGCACCGTTTTGACAGAGTTTATGACGAGAGGCGCCCATTGCGAAGTTCTGAAGTCCATGCTACTGAAAGCCCGATTTCAGGTGTTTGACCTGACCTTGACCCGACTTGTGACCTCAAAATTCAACTTTAAAGTACTCATCTGAAGCGTCTCGTCGCGTTCTTTCGTTTGCCGCCTCGTGCGTTTCGCTGCGCCTATTGGTTCTCGAGTTATCGGCTGGGGGCGTTTAACGCCCCCCCCCCCAGCAAACGGTGGTTGGCGAAATACCCCAGCAACTGCCGGGTTAAGTGGCTGTAGCGATACCCAGTGTGAGAGTCTTTTGCCTTCTAGGAGAATTCTCTTCACCAAGACAGATCGTTCGGCGTTGACGGTGCTGCCTCTTCCACAGATGAGATCTCTGACTACTTTGGTGTCAAGATCGGCATCTACTTCGCCTGGCTGGGCCACTACACCCGCTCATTGATTTTGCCGTCACTGATCGGCATCATATACTGGGTGAGTTCACTTCGGCGAGCGGCCTGTGCCGTCCGCCGCGCATCATTGGTGGGGATGTCATCAGCTGAATAATGGGAGAGGATGCTGAGCCAGTAGCTAATTTGAACAATGGTTGAGCCCATATGACCCTCCTTGTTTAGATTTCCGCCTTAGAATGTTGTTTATTGCTGACGTAACTCGTGCAATGCAATGCAATTCGTGTTAAATGGTCACTCGTGTTTCTAGCTTGCTTGATAAGGTCGAGTTTCCGTGACAAATAACCGACAGTTTAGCCCAAGGCCCATGTCAAGATCTGTAATATATGTCACATATGTACATCTGTCGGGGCCTTGTGTAGTGTTGTGGAAATGGGAACATGTGCCTTGTGAGTTTCGTAAATTGTCTACTCCTGAGAACTTGGCGATGACTGATTGTAACCAGTCATGGCCGCGGCTATACAGTTTCTTTTTACCGGTCAAAGACGAGTATCATTTGTTACAGGACGAATATCACTTGTCACATATTTTTGTTACCGGTCGTTATGGAATGTGTGTGTCCAGTCAGGGATGCCGCCGTTAGTTTTTTTCATGACCTGTCAGGGGTGTGACTGGGCACTGTGCATTGCGTGCAGCTCTAGCTCGAGTGTTCATTCGTACGCCGCTATACTCGCAGTCGCGTAAGTGGTAGGTTCATTTTCTGTGGGCTGATGGACAGCCGAACTGCGCTGGATCAACGTCTCACCCGATAGCGTCAGCGCGCTAATGAAATGGGACACCGCGGAGTTAATTATTCACCGCTGGAGGCGATGTCGAAGTTTGCTAAACTCGTTACAGGACCGCCAGCCCTTTAGCGGCGAACCGTGTGATGTTCTGGGCTTGTACCGACGATACAATGTCGGGTCGCTGAGTCTATTTCAGATCGGCGCTGACGCGAAGTGAAGCCAATTTCCGGAGCGCTTGAACTTGTGATCTCTCATAGTCATGACGCCATTTGATGTCGCTCTCTCCGCAGGGGAAGAGCTTTCGGAAGGAGACACAGGCCGAGGATGACCTGTGGTTCGTGTTGTTCGCCTTCTTCAACGTGTTCTGGTCGACCGTGTATCTGGAGAGCTGGAAGCGGCGCTCGGCGGAGCTGGCTCACAGCTGGGGAACGCTGGACACGAGGGATGAGCTGATCCAGGAGCCGCGGCCCCTCTTCAAGGTGGGTGCTGGCAATGTCGGCCACAGGATCGGAGCTGGTAGCGATCTTGTGGAAGTAATGGATTGAGTCTGGTTGTAAATGTGGAATACTGCCATGAGTGGCGAGAACCTGGCTAGGGGTTATTTAGGGTTGTGTATTGCACGTCTTATGTGAACGTTGATTAAAAATTCTGAGTTGATTAAAGTGATCGAAAGCTCAGACATTCAGACGAATGGTTGGTCAACAGATGAAATGTATGCTCTGTAATTTAATTTAAGCGCTTATGTAGCTCAAAACAATGACCGATTGACGGAGCTATAGAGGTCTTACTTGTGTCTCGATTGCAAGCGGTCGATCATCGTTACGCCAATTTTAGCCGTCCCGGTCCACATACATTCCATTTGGGTCTTTATTTGACGTCCGCCGCTGGCCGCTTTGGTCGGAGCCTGGTGGCTCAGACAGACGGAACGGATTTCGCTCGAGATCCGAAACTTTGTTTATTCGGATTAGTCTGTTCAGCAGAGGGCCGGTCGAAGATCGTCAGACTGGAGATAGCCGCGACCGAAGCCGGCTCTTTTATTGACCGAAGAGGTCGGGAGAAGAAGGGAAGAGAGTGGGAGGAGAGCAGGGTTAGCCCTTAGTCTTCAGATTGTTACGAAGTTCTTGTGTCCGGCGCAGTTTTGTCAGCAGTATGGGCTGACGCAACGTAACGACATCAGACGGGGCACTGAGCGCCGAGGCTCAGAGTATGTTTCACAGGCCGGGGACGGGCGCGCGCTCTGTGATGAATAGCAAACTGGACCAGCTCAACCGGCTCATATGGACGACGTCATGCATAGCATGATTGATGTGGGGTGATAGAGCCAGAGAGGCGACAGCTCCATACTAAACAGGTCACGAGCTGCCGCCAGACGGTCCGGCATATTTTATCATAGAGCGACTCACAAAACTCGACCATGATTTATTCATGCAGCGTCTTTAGTTAGGGGCTGCCTTCCTGCATCTGAGAACCGCTGCTGCTAGTGCTACACCCATTCTCAATACCGCTGTGGGCCTTACTCGATTCAGGTGCGGTCCGTTACTAGTTCGGTATCACCATAATAGGCTCCTCTTCATGTCAGTACCCACCACTGTGTGTCCTTTCTGATCCAGTACCTATACTGGTCGCGTCGCTCTCAATGCATAGTACTGTAGGTCCCTTTCCCAACAGTACCTCCATTAGTTCCTATCCCTCTTAGTACCCACTGCTCCACTGCGTTTTCCTCCCATCCAGTACCGCCATGTGTCCCTGTCCGCTGTCCGTCTTTCTCAGAACTCGCAGCCGCGGGTGCCTCTCCATTCCCCCTACGGCTACAATCGGTCAGATGGGCGCGCCAGTGTCTGAGAAGACGTCTCGGCCTGATAACGTTCGAGCACATCCCTGTGCGCCAGTATCTGAGAGAAGACGGTCTGGGCCTGATAACGTTCGCGATCGATGGGCCCTCGGGGCGTAGCTAGACGGACGGCAGCGTCCGTCCGTGTGTCCGTCTGTCTGTCGGTTCGTCAAGGTCTGCGCTTCTACGTCTATTCGAATTTCTGAACGTCCCGGGACATATGTCTGTACACCTATGTCAGTTCGTTCGTCATTCCGTTCGCCCGCTCGTCATTAGGTACTCCTTAATCCGTCCGCCACTTAGACCTGCTACGTCCGTGCTACACCCCCACGGACTCTGCTGTCTGCTGCTTATTATTTTGAAGACAACCTCAGGCTATGGCCCACTTATTTTACAGCTGCAGTGCAACATACGCTCTTGTGTCTTTGCGTCCGTCCGTCAGTCTGTCCAGGCCAGAGGCCAGTCGCCCGTGTGTGACCGTGTCCGACGACCCGCACCGGACCGGACGGGACTGTCCCCGGTGTCCCTGTCGGTAATTGCCCGGGGCACCGACCGCGACGCCCCACCGCCGCCTCCCCACGCCGACACAATAGCGCGGATAAATGTCCGCTCCCCGCTACCGCCGGCCGCCTCTGCTCGAGTACCGACGGCAGTAAGAGGCTCTCTGTTCCCATTCCGCTGGTGCCTGGTGTCGTCAGATTTAACGCTGGGAGCAGGGTTGTTTTGTGGAGAACAAAGGACTGTTGACGCCGAACGGCGCGAGGCTGAGACAGGACTCCACCTTGTGTCTGTCAGTTGCTGTGAGGAAGCTAGTTTGTAAGATCGTTGGATGTGTGCATGATGAAGCTCATCCCTGTGGATTAAGTGAAAGTACATGGTTAGTTTTCAACAGTTTGGGGGGGGGGGAAGGTTACATTATTTCTTATGTCAAGCCTCAATGGTTAAATCATTGCGTTTGTTGGCTTAACCCTCGCATGTGTGCGGCGTTTGCCAGCTTCTAATGTGTAGGGGGGGGGGGGGGGGTCGGTTGGACCCCCCCCCCTTGCCGTTTGGCCCCTGATTGAGCTAGAGCTTCGCGGAAAAAAACAAGCGTGTTGCCCGTGACGAGAGGAAGCCGATGATACCCAATTTTAACCCGCGCGGGGCTGGGGTCTCCAGCCGAACGCGCGGGGCTGGGGGGTAAATTTTACCCCCCTGTTATCTCCCGAACTAATGGTCTGATTTGGAAAATTCAAACGCCAATCGAAAGATCTCATCACGAACAACCAAAAACATGTACTTAATTTAAAGTTTGAGGTCAAGGTCAAGGTCAGGTCAAGGGTACAAATTGCAACCTTCTACAGTATCGGCCTTGCACCGTAGTTGCCGAAGAATGGAGTCATGGACTGAGACTGATTGCCCAAAACGTGTTCTTAGGCTACCAAGACAATATTCGTTGCATACAATATCATTCAGAGGTCAAGGTCAAGGTCAGGTCAGGTCAGGTCAGGTCAGGTCACCAAAAAACAAAATATAGAAAAGGGCATGTGCGACACATGTTTTATGGGTCATTTTACTCATAGAATTCAATAGGCTCACTCAATAAGTGATATGGACCACCTCTGGATGAATTTCAGGTGGAGGTCAGGTCAAGGTCAGGTCAAGTGAGGTCAAATTTTGAAGTTGGTTGTTAAGGCCTAAAAAAGGTGTCTATCTGATGCAGTTTTTCACGGCGAATCGAATGGTGCTATTTTTGTTTCCGTACGAGGTCTAGAACTTCCAAAAAATCATTTTTCAAAATTTTGAGTGTCGTAACGTCATAAAATTTTCAATAACTCCCACATTTTTTAACCGATTCTTCTAAAAATTGGTATGTAGGTGCACATAGACCACTTCTCTGACATATATTCCGGTTTTTTCGATACACTCAAAATTTTGGATTTTATAATTATTTTCCCAAAAAAGTCAGTTTTTTGAAAAAAAAATTGGGCCAAAATCCAAAATTTTCAAAAAACCGAGATAGCCATTTGATAGACAAAGTAGAATTACGTATAACCTTTTTTGTTACGTCTTGATTCCTCTAAAAATTAAGATGTTAGCGGCGTTTGAAATTTTGCCGTTTTTGAGGCGAAAATAGCGAACATGACGTCACTAAAACGTCAATTTCTCAAAAAAAAAATCGACGGATTTCGCTCAAATTTTCAGGGAACGTGTCAAATTGATGTAAGAAAAGGTACTGAAAGTTTGGCGGCGCTGCGCGCCGCCGTTTTTGAGACATCGCAAAAATTCGCGAGGGGGGGTAAAATTTACCCCCCCAGCCCCGCGCGTTAGGGTCCTAGGTCATTGGTTGACCTTCCAGGTCAGGTCAATGACCCAAGGTCGGGAAAATCGGGACCTGTTAGAAAGTCGTAAAGTGTGGCTGCTAAGGGGTTTTTTCGGGGTGCTGATCACGAATATCGTGTTAGTTTTGATCACAGATGATGTCTTTAAGCATTTAGACCAGGTCAGGTCAGGTCAACCAGTAGGCGTCGTGACGGGTATTCGTATTACGTGTCAACCGCCTCTGACAGCGTCGTACCATGTTACGAAGTCACCAAAACTACTTTGTAAATGTTCAAATGGTTGCTAAATTCGAATTCAGCTCCAAAAACTAGCCTAGAAACATGTAAAACTCGAAAAAGTGAACCGAGGTCCTCAAAGGTCAATGACCTGACCTGACCTTCAGGTGACCTTGACACCCACCCTAATGCATGGGAGCAACATCAAATCACATGTTTGAACGTTTGAAACCACGAAAAGCTTGCAAACGCGCGGCTAATGCGAGCCGACATACGCGGAATCGCGATTCCGGCCAAACATGGTCTCGGAAAAGAGGTCACAGGTCAAAGGTCATTAGGGTCAGGGTCATGAAATTTTCAGGGTAGGTGTAAAATTGATCAATGTGAGGGTACTGAAAGTTTCGTCGCGATCGGCCGCTTTTTACGCGAGTTATTCGCGAAAAACCATGGGGGGGGGGTCCATCCGACCCCCCCCCCCCCTACACATGCGAGGGTTAAAATCTACAATTTTTTCTTAGACGTCTTCAAATATTATTTTGCTAGTTTGAGAAGAAAAAGATCGAAGCCGATGGTAGCTACAAAATGTAAGGAACCCGAAGTCTTAGAAGTTTTATGAATGCAGATGTCTGGCTCAAAGTTCTAACTAAGCTCCTGCTATCACTATATGATGTCAACTGATTGCAACATTTATGTAACAGACGAGATAATTCTACTGCTAACAACGTCATGCCATATCCAGAATCTCAGCTTGCCTATTCAACTCTGATCGGTCTGTCGTCGATATTAGCATTCAGCTTCCGTCCGGATCGGATGTCGTCGGAAATCGTCATCATCTCTCAGGCTCCCCCGCTGTTATCGCTTCTCGGTACTATGTGGGCCTCTTTTCGTGACTTATGGGCCGGACGGAAAGGCTGAGACTCAAACGGGAAGATTTGTCCGAACACTCGTATTTTTTTCTGTCCTATGACCGGTATAAACAGGTCGTCGTTTTACATTTCCCAGTAATCGGTCGATACCCTCCTTTGGTCCTCCTATGACTGATAGACCCTCCCTTGGTCCTCCTGCGATCAGGGGACGTCGTTCTCGTTTTCTTCTTTGATCAGTGCAGAGTACATTACAGTACAGATAAGTACCGACGTTCGGTCCCCCTGTGACCGGCACGGGTCTATGGTCCTTTTGTGTCGGGTAGAGGCCATTCCCCGACGCAGGACCATGCCACAGGTTCCCTGAGCGGGCGCTCGGCGCCGTTCTGGTAATGGAGAGGCGGCGGCGACCCATCAGTGCCGTCTGATGTATGGAGGGGTCGGCTGATGGTCGGCGGGCGTGCGGTGCCACCGCCGCCCTCTGCCCACCGGTGCACTGCTCTTCTCTCTGCCGCCGCCTTTCGCTGTCTTTTCCCTCTACCGTCCTCTGTCACCATCCTCTGCCTTTCTCTGCCTTCCACTACTTACGTCCTCCGTCATCCTCTTCCGTCCACCTCTTCCCGCCCGCCACCCTCTGCCGCTCTCTGTTCTCATGCAATGGTTGGAATGAAAATGCTTTGAAATGATTGTTTGCCATTTCATGGAATAGGTCGTGTTAACGACATTACTGTCAAAATTGCGTCGAGTGCTGTCGTTACTTTCAATGCCTGGTTATTGTGCGCATACTCCGATGATCATTGTCTTTTGAGTCTTTTCGTTTTCCTTGCGCTCCATTTGAAAGAAGACGCCCAACTTAATAAATTATCCGGCAATCAACACCAAAAGCTGCTCTTAATCTAGGGACGTCGTAATAAATGGGCCCATATATTACACTCTTAATGAGTATGCTCCCATTAACGTCCATTTATTCCGGTTAAAACTTGCACCAAAAATCGAGTTAGGAAATATCGTAGCTATCCGTTCTCAATCTGTTGAAATGGATTGTCTTCCGTGCTTGTTACTGACTGGACCTCACTGACAAGAGTCACGGTAAGCTGCTAACAACGTCATTTTCCACTAAAAACGTGACGTTGCGGCCAGCAGTCCAGTAGGTAGTGATGCTAATGGGCATTGCGTGTCGTCACTCTGTGATTTTCTCCTCACGAGACGAGTGGGTCGAATGCGGGTCGGCACAGGTGTTTGTTTTGTATGTTAGGGCCCCTTCGATCTAACGAGACTTTTTTCGGAGCCGGAAAAAATGATACATGGGTGATGAGAATAGTGGGAGGCATCGATCTGGACGGCACGGACGGCACATCGGTCTGCCGCCGCCTTGTCCACACACCGGTATCTTTTTGTCTTGTCCTTCAGTTGCCCAGCGAACTGCTATGCCATTCCTGCTATCCACATCGTTCATGGTCGGGTCCACACCCCTTGCCTATGCCTGTTCGCTGTCCACTGGCAGCCCGTTCCGTACTGTCCGTCCGTCTGTCCTGCCCGCTCAGTTGTCCGCCCGACTGTCGCGACTGAGCGGGCAGCTGAATAGCCACCCGGCGCGGCCGGCGACGTCTCTAATTCTGTGCTGATGAACGTGACAATCGTCTGAAGCTCCGGTCGGTAATGGTCCGCGCAGGCCCGGCTCGGCCCGGCCCGCAGGCCGGCGTCACATGCTGTCCCAGACCGGAGATTCGGTGCCCAGATGGAGGCGCGGAATCGAGCTGGTTGTGGACTAGGGCAGCAGCGTCGTCTTCACAATGATGATGGTATTGTGTAGAGTTAGACGAAGTCACCCAATCATTCTGCGTATAAGAGTCTTGGTGAGACTGACGGGTTTTTGGCTGTGCTGAATTACGACTGGTGTATGCCACTATTCCCCCACATATTCCGACTCGAGGAACCCATGCGCTGCGTTCTGCCGGGGAGGTGAGCTGCGCCTCAGCCGGACTCTCGCCCTGAATTTAAACCTCGCCCACTGGCCCCGTCCATCTTCCCCGAGCGTCTGGCAGTGACGGCACAGAAAATGGGCCGGCTGCAAAAATCCACCATCGGCGCCCGTTTAAATAATACATCCGAGACGCCATATCAGCGAGATCGTGTTCCTGGCAAACAAACGCCGCTCGCTAGAACGGTGTTTTTGCTTTGGAAGACAACACCTGCAAAGCGATCCTTGATTGTTCTGTGATTTATAAGAGAAACCTCTGATAAAGGTTGGCTGGAATTTAGGAAGCATCATGGCTACACTAACCTACAGCCATTCCCAGACAGTAGACACAATCTAATCACTCAGTGCCACTTCTGCGTAATTGGCAGAGCCCACATAAGGAATGTTCGGAGCCAACAGACAGGTAATTCGATTTAGAAGAAATTTCGTTACGTACAGTGGTCATTCGTTCTCAGTTCGACTTGGACGCATCTGCCTTGCATCGGTGCTGTCTGTGCCATAAGATCTACATTGTCTGACATTACATCCAGTCTGATCTAACCTTCTCAGCTATTCTGACAGCATCGTATACATGTCATACACGATTAGAAGAATCCATAGTGACGAGCTCTAACCTATGTCATGTAGAAAGAGGCTCTTGATACCCGTCGTCAATACATTTGAAAAAGATCTGCTCTGCCCTTTGTTTCTAGTGCATCCTGGCTTGAAAAGTGCAGTCGAGCCGTTTAGCCTATATTCCACTACCAGCACCTGAGCTGATATGACTTGATATCAGTCACCGAAATGTGAGCTGCCGGTGCCGGTTTCTAACCTTACCTGACCCGACCCGGCCTGCCTGCACAGGGTGAGCTTCAGGCACTGACAGTGATCTACCCTGACCTACCCTCTGCCGCCTCAGTGCGAACTTCAGGTGTCGGGCGATGAACTGACGTGACCTGACCTTTGCCACTTTAAGGGTGAACTCCACAGGTATTGGCAGTAATCTGACCTGATCTGACCTGATCTGACCTCCACCTCCACAGGGTGAACTGCAGGTGTCAGCGGTAACCGGTAAACTGGAACTGGCGTGTCCGTGGTGGCGCCAGAGCCTGCGCCGCTACCTGATCAGATGGTGACCTGACCGGACCTGACCTGACCTCTCTCTCTCTCTCCACAGGGTGAACTGCAGGTATCAGCGGTAACTGGTAAACTGGAACTGGCGTGTCCGTGGTGGCGCCAGAGCCTGCGCCGCTACCTGATCAGATGGTGACCTGACCGGACCTGACCTGACCTCTCTCTCTCTCTCCACAGGGTGAACTGCAGGTATCAGCGGTAACTGGTAAACTGGAGCTGGGCTGTCCGTGGTGGCGCCAGAGCCTGCGCCGCTACCTGATCGGCTGGCCGCTGACTGCCGGCTGTATCGCTGCCGACGTGTTCGTCATGTGGACCCTGCTCGAACTTCAGGTCAGTTACCGATGTACACACCCAGACACGCGAACCGATACCACTCCCAGCTCTCAACGGGTAACGCGAGTCTGGCAGTGTCGACTGTCCGTTTGTGGCTCAAGTTTGTTTATGGACGGAACTTGGGATTTCCTCTGAAATTGATTTCTTTTGGATTCTTAAATTTCTTTCACACTCCGCAATCTTGAAACGTTTTGCCTTTCCAGCAAACTGTCGACTCGATGTGAAATAACAGCGTTGTTCCGCTGATTGTTATGCTGATTCGTGTGCCATTTCGACTAACGACGCAGCTGCTGGCAACAGGGCCCCTCGGCCCAACACAAATGACTCTCCAAATCATCCTCGAAAATTGAATCAGGCGCTAATGACACCCTTCAGCCTAACAACTGCAAGACACGATCAGCTAGCGCAACGCAATTAAGCGTCATTTTGGGTAATATGTATATTAAAGTTATTAGCAATTCCTTTTCCACAGCCATTTAATGTGCCTAAATACCGTGGACTAAAATATTAGATTGCATGTTTATTTTTCTCCAGATTTAAGTTCACCTTTACGTCTCGGGGAAACTGTATTTCAATCATTCACATTAGTAGCCTGGTCGTGACGGTGCCCCTTACCGCAACCCAGGCTGTAATTTCGTCTCGGCGTGGCTGGCCGGTCCGGCTTTGTCTCGCCAATAGGCGGCAATCGGACGTCTGTGACGTGGCCATGAGACGGACCTAGCAGACGTTGTCGGGACCGACTGGGGTTTACGGTCCGCTTTTATGCGGGGGTGGGGCGGTTGAGGACCTTAACCCAGACAGTAGTGCCAGGAGAGCATCCTGTCTGGAAGGGGGGCGGGGCCAAGACGGAAACAGGATGGTAAGGAGCGTCTGGTTGAGGTGGAGAAGGAGAGGGACAGGAACCGGGGTCAGGGCAGGGCGACAAGGAATGACTGTGAATGTGAGGGGACTCAGGACCGAAAGCTATGAGCAAGGAGCGTTTGTGGGGAGGATGTAGGATTTGGGCAGCGCGGCCAGGAGCGTCTATCGCCGTCCGGCACGTCCAATGTGGGAAGGGGCGGAGTAGGTACGCAGACCTTTCGGTGATACCAGCTCTGTGTCTCGCTGGAATGACCAGGAAATCCAATTTTGGGGAGCTCTGAGAAACCTGAGGTGGAGAGGAAATCTAGCGTCCGCTGGATAGATTGGAACAATTGACTGAGTCTGACCCTTATAATACTGAAATCATCTTCTTAAGTACCGAACTTACACGTTACCGGGCCCTGTTACAGTGCGGTGGTAATACTCATTCCAAAACCAGCCGCACTACAAATCTATGCATCCATCAATCTTAAATTTGTCTTGTGCTGTTTCAGTTCTGGTGGGAGAAGCACACGCAAGAGTGGGGCTACGGGGCGTGGACCAACTACTTCCCCAAGATCCTGATGGCGTTCGTCATTGGCGCAATGGAGAACATCTACAAAAAGGTGGCCGTGTGGCTCAATGAGTTCGGTACGTATCAGCTCTGCACGACCTGTGTGTTTGACCTCCGAACGAACTGTGTGAACGACCGCCTCCGACTCCTTCCCTGCCTGACTGTTCTTGTTCACGTTCTCGGTCATCATCTCAAATTACGTTTTCCGCCTTGTTCTCGTTCTCGTTCTTTCTTCCCGACTCCATCCACTTCCGTCATCGCTTTTTTCCGCCCCGGATCCCGTCACCGTCACCTTCCATCACCCTGGGTCACTTTGTTCTGGTACTTTCCGTCTCTCTTTTCCGGAATGTCTTTCTCTCTCTCTCTCTCTCTCTCTCTCTCTCTCTCTCTCTCTCTCTCTCTCTCTCTCTCTCGCTCTCTCGCTCTCTCTCTCTCTCTCTCTCTCTCTCTCTCTCTCTCTCTCTCTCTCTCTCTCTCTCTCTCTCTCTCTCTCTCTCCCATCCCTCTTTCACATTTCTCTTTTTCCCTACGCTTTTCCCACCGCCGTGTTCCGTGCCCTCATTTGCCGATGTAGCAGGAAGGAGGAACTGTTTTCTGACAGAATTCCCGATAACGCGAAAGACGATCTTTTCTCTCTCGCCCTGGCCGGTCCATCCACGATTCCCCGTCCGCACACAGCCGCTCGCGTGATTAGTTGATATTTTCTTATTTGAACAGAAAGTACTGGAACAAAAGAGTAAATCGGAGATTGGTGCAGAAGCTCAAGGCTTAACTCGGGGCACCTCTCTCCGTGCACACTCGAGTTAGTTCAGGACGACCAATTGGCGCAGTTTGATGTTCCCCGGCAGGTATTACCGTTAGTTAGGGTCACGGGCCTGACCTTCACAGTCGGTCGATCTCGAAATGGTCACAGCCCGGGGCATTATTAGAGTCGAGAATAGTCCCGACCGGAACCCACGCTTCAGGGCGTCCCTGGCCCAAAATGGAAAACGAGTCGATGTTGGATGTAATAGATAGGTCACCGCGAGAGTTAAGAATAGATTGTTGGTGCTAAATCAGGTCTCCTGCGCAGTATCCTGTCGAGCTCCGTTGCTCTCCCGTTCTCCGTTGCGGCGTGGTGTAATTCCGCTGATGACAGCTCGGCCATTTCCGTCACAGTTCCTTTCTCCAGGCGGACATCCCGTCCAGACAGTGTCGTCTGCTGGTTGTAACCGCGGGGGGCGTTATCCGTCGTCTGGCGCCTCCATCTGGCCGGTTTAACGCCGGCTATAGAGCGGGTAGTGGGAAGTAGAGACGGCCGGCTGGGCGCGTCGTTTCTCAGAGTTTCAACACAATAGGCTTCCAACGTGGCACTGAACGCCGAGGCGCGACTGTTATCGATCGTTCCGCGGGTTCCTTAGAGCTATTTCTATGGTTAATAAATTGGGGTTAGGAGAAGGAGGTCTTAACACTTAAGGGCGTCAAACTGGTCACAGTGTTTGGCTAGCAATCAAGGGTGTCACGTTGTTGAGTCTACTTATCGGGGACACTAAGCAGTGACCCTACAGTTACCCAGAGCTAACTCCCCATAGGCGGGTTGTAGTTCGATGTGCTGTGTTTCGATCTAACCATGTAGCAGGATTACCGACCGATTCTGACCTTTCTGGGCGCCATTGAGACACTCCCTGTAACCTCCTCACTGTTCCGGCCAGCCCTGAATCAGCGATGTGATCGTCGACTGTCATGTTACTCACCGCCCTCATCCTCTCACCCCATAAACGCTCTCACTCTCATACCACTGCTCGCGGTTTGTTTACAAGCTCTGTTCGCGCCTCCCGTCATCATCCCGATTCATCCTGTCTGCGAGCTCCTATCCTATCCGTACTCACTGCTGCCCGACATTTCAATCTCGCTCTCCGGTGTTCACAGAGAACTATAGGCTCGAGGAAAGCTATCAGAACCATCTGATTGTGAAGCTGGCACTGGTTAGTCGGTTCGACTCTGACTGGTTCATTAGTTTTGTGTGCCGAAGGCTCGGTGTTTTTCGTTATAAGCATGATGTGCTTCCTTGTTATGTGTATCTTATGATACTTTGATTATATTTCTGCCGTGCACAGAAAAAACGATTACGTCGGGTCAGAGTTCATTACCTCAGGCCAGATGTCGCCCTAACGTAATCGGTTTTGCCTTTGTACAGCAGATTTGTGTTTGGTTTTATTTGGTGTAGCATGGTAAGCTGTGATGCTTTCTTACGAGCACAGCTTTCATCGTCTGTTTTTAGGTATTACGAACGGTGATATTATTTTAGTTTTGCTCATGTGGTTGTGGTGAACGGTGTTATTCGTATGATGTCTGTTTATTACTTTTAGCATGAACTTTTCAGGGCATGTTTGTGTAGGACCTTTGTCAGTTCTTTAGAGTGGCATCAATTAGTATGTCGTTTTTCATTCCTTGAAAGCCCGTTGTTGGACCATGCTGACAAAGTTCATAGTAAGCAGTCACAATAATCTAATCAGCGGACAGCGACAAGGATCGTTTCATTTACGTACACAGAAGTATCCGTGCGTCATATTTAACATGAACAATTTGACCCAGTTCAGCTCTGCAATTTAAATCACATGACGCTGCAGAGTTCAAAAGAGACAGAAGAGATGTGACGAGCTCCCGATATCAGCTGCTCCCAGACGTATCATAGCCTAACGTTTTAAGCATTTTTTATGTTTGCCTTGTCTGGTGTCGTTCCTTTCTCAAAAGAATTTCTCTCGAACTGTCTCAGCTTTTAGTATTGATTGCTAAATTGAAAGGTGCAACCGTAATATTGCTGGTCTGTGCAATCATTATGGCCTAATCGTTAACCCGTCTAATTTAGATCATGTCGGTATTCGACATGTGCGAAATCCCGGACGACGGTGAAAACAGGGCGCCTGGGGCGATTTGATCAAGGTAGAAATTCACACGGGAAATTCACTCGCACAAACCACGTGACAACCACTGTGTAGAAGGCGTAGAGAGGGGGAGAACTTCTTAGTAGCCACGTGACCAAATATGCCCTCCGGCGCCCTGTTTTCACCGGCGTCCGAAATCCCTCCACAAGACTTGAAAAGCCTGGGTCGCCATATTCCGTCTGGCCATTTCGGCCTCCCTGCGCCGTTTGGGGCGGATTCAGCTGCGAGCGCCATAACTTGGCTGTCTGACGGCCGTTCGCTGTTTATGTGAGGCCCTGTCGACGCCGGCTCGGCCGTGCTCGCACTATTGGAGTCGTGTCGAGTCGGCAGGAACGGGTAAGAGGGAGGATTTGGCCACTCGGGGATTCGAGTCCTGACTTAGCCAGCATCGGATTAGTGGACCGAAATAACTCCCGTGTGAGCGGGCAAGCTTAGTAGAAAAAAAAACATATTATTCCACTTCGCTCCGCACTTCTGCATTTGCATCGTGCGCTTTCCAAGTTTGTGTTGATTTTGTATTTATTTGCGAAACATGCAGATGTTTTACTGTCGTTCCCTTCTGTTTGAAAGTAAAAGTATTCGTAAAATTATAAAAAAGTAAATTGAATTTGACATACGTAATTTATTTCAGGAGCAGGCGTCCTAGCCTGTCCGAGTGTCATTAGTTTGTTCTCGACCTGTTTGTGTGCGGGCCACTTATAAACGTTCTGAGGTTTTAACATTTTTAATTGTTTTCCAGTTCCAATTTGTCAACTCCTTCGCGTCGCTGTTCTACATCGCCTTCTACCTACAAGATATGGAGCGATTGAAACGGGTGAGTTTCATGACAGTTTTGGGTCTTTGACAACAAAAGTATAAGATCACTTTCCAGTTACTGTAAATAATAATTCTTTTTTATTCACGGAGGAGTCTAGTTTATTCCATCCAAGGCCTTAAAGCTGCAGAAGGTGGCTGATGACATCCCTTATATACCGAGACATATGCTGTTTTTAACAGGCATGTTTTCGTTTTGCAGCAATTGGGAACTCTGCTCATCATCCGCCAAGTCGTGGGCAACGTGAAGGAGTCGCTAATTCCGTTCCTCAAGGGTCAGATGAAGTTGGCCCAGATGAGCTTCGCCATGTTCGGCGCAGTTTCGCCATCTATGGAGGAGAAACCGAAGCCAGAGTTGGAGACCCCGCCGGAAGATGGCAACTCGGCGGCCACACCGAGCTCCGGCCCAGACGTTAGAAATATCAGCCAGGCGGAGATTGAATCAGCCATGCCGCAGGTGATTTGACATGCATGTCGAGTTAAATTGCCGGGCTAGTCCGGCTTTGGCCACCGGCTAGTCATGAATTCATGGTCACGGTCGAAGGAAATAGCTGCTAGGGACTGCGACTATTGAATTTTATAAGCAGACCATTACACTGGTCCTGGTTCAGTAGATGGTGGAACGGACTGACGGATTATCAGCTTTTACCATATCGAAATGCTTGAACCTCACCCCGCGTTCGATGTCTCTCGGACGACGAAGATTCTACGTCGTCCGGCCAATCCCGTTCAAGGTCAGAGGGGGCTCGGCTGCGGTTATGGAACGTGATTGGCCGGACTACATAGAATCTTCGTCTTCCGAGAGACATCGAACACGGGGTTAGTCTTATCTAATATCTTAACCGCTGAATATTGACCCGTGTATGGTCTGCTCCTAGTTCCTACCGCACATCCAACATCCCCACCTTTGTCCTTCCGCAGTATGACGGCACGTTCGAGGACTACCTGGAGATGTTCATCCAGTTTGGCTACGTCATCCTCTTCTCGTCAGCGTTCCCGCTGGCGGCAGTGTGTGCGCTGCTCAACAACATCATAGAGATACGCAGCGACGCCTTCAAGTTGTGCGCCATCTTCCAGCGGCCGTTCGGCCAGCGGGCGAGGAACATCGGCACCTGGCAGGTACGGCAGATGGTGGAGGTGGTGGGCTGGGGCCGGAGTCAGAGATGGAGTTGTAACTGAGTTGTGAGGATGAGCTGTGAGCTGCTAATGTCAAATATTAATTGGGTTTGGGAATATGTCCGTCCGATTATTATTGACGATTTCCTGTGTCTCAAAGTGGAAGCTCACATGGCTATTCGAGTTGATGTAGTGAATTTTGACCTTTACTGATGTTCAAAGTTTCATAGGTCTGTGAGTGATGCATGTGCCGTTTCACAGTGCTCAAATCTAGTGACCTTCAATTCGTTTCAGGACGCGATGGAAGTGATGGGCGTGGTGGGAGTGATGGTCAACTGCGCCCTCATCGGAATGTCCGGTCCCGTACACCGGCTCTTCCCAAACATATCTACGGCACAGACCGTGCTGCTCATCATTGTGCTGGAGGTAAGGGCCGGTCCACATCGCTCTTTCCCAACAAACCACGGCCCAGACCGGGCTGCTCATCATTGTGCTGGAGGTAAGGGTCAGTTCATACCGCTCTATACCACGGCCCAGACCGTGCTGCTCATCTTTGTACTAGGGGTAAGAGCCAGTCCACACTGCTGTTGCATTGTATTGGAGGTATGTTCGAGTTCATACCGCTCTTTCCCAACGTATCCACTGCGCAGACCGTGCTGCCTCATCATTGTACAGGAGGTAAGGGCCAGTTCATATCGATGTTTTGTAGCATTTCCATCTTCTTGGTCCAAGCGATGTGTTCCCATTTACAGCGATATGCGGGTAATAATTCAGCAAAGCATTTGTGCTGCGATTCGAGTCCCCCATGACAAATGGTCCATGTTGAAAGTTTTTCAGCCAACACTTCTAGCTCTTCCCACATATCTTGTATTGTGTGTGGACTCACGTCTGTTGACGTGTTTGTGCTTGACTGACCGGCGCTGTGTCCCTTCTACAGCACGTTCTGCTGCTGCTGAAGCTGCTGCTGTCGTACGCCATCCCAGACACTCCAGCCTGGCTGCAGACTGAGATAGCCAAGATCGAGTTTAACCGGCGAGAGCTGCACAAACGTTCCCTGTCGTTCAGCAGGCAGACGAGCTTCTCGTCATCGGTGGACTCGAGCCCTCAGCATCAGAGGTGGGTGAAGGGAGGGTGTAGGGACAGGGAGGATTGTGGAAGGGTACAAAAACGTGCAAAGACGGTGATTCTGGGTACAGCAGAGAGGGTAACATCGGGTGTAGGGGTTGAGGGTGTTGAGGGGAAGGGTGTCGACTGTCGAGGGGTGCAGGAAGGGTGTTGAGTGGTGCAACAAGTGTGTGAAGGTAGGGAGTCCCTTCCTTTTGGTGGTGGGGGAGGGGACATTGTGTGCTGTAGGTGAAAGTTACATGGTGTAGGTGAAACACAACATGGTTATATGTCAGGCTTCGTGTTTCTGAAGTGGGAACAAAATTAGGGTGTATGTGGATTTGAGGTGCCCTCTCTGTGATGATAACGCGAAATGGACGAACGGTGATACCAATCATCGGGGTGGGAAAGCGTATAAGCCATTATGAAGAATATGAACGATAGGGCCGGGATGAATGTCTTAGAGGCACAGATATCCGAGATAGAAGTGTGGGATGTGAAGGGTTTCTGTGTCCTTTTCTGATACTGAACGCCGCCTTTGTGGAATAACCGTCGCAGCCACTGGCCTGCGAATCGTTTTCCACTATCCTCATCGTGTTTTCATATCTTTCTTTCTGGCTCTGTTTGTTGACGTGCCTGTACTCTGACCTTTCGGCTCCGGGTGGGTCTCACTTGCTCCATTAACTCTCCGCTCCCCTCAGAATTCCATCGGCCCCGGCTCCTCCCGCGCACCAGTAGTGAGTCGCTCTCACCTTTCTCTTTCTCTGCTGATCGGGTGGAGGACAGACGGGTCGCATGGGCTTGACGCGCTCGGGCTGATAGGCTTGGTGGGGCCGCATGCGCAGTGTGGGTTGGTGACGCGCCGTGCCGATGACAGGGGCCGCTGGCAGCGTGCTTCCGTCTACCAGCTGCCCTGGGCGCTGAGGTCTTGACGGCACCGCCCTGCCGGTCGGGTCGGCTGTGGGCGTCTCAGGGGTGTATAATGGGTGAGCTGCGGGTGTGAGTTGTAACATCAGGCTGTACACTGTGCAAAGTGTATAGTGTACAGTGTACGCATGTGGTGGCGTGCCGTGAGTGATTACTAATTGACTTACTAACTGATTGGTTACTGAGAGTCCCAAAGGCGCCAGACGAGCCACCATAGACCTCTGTACACCGTGTACAGAGGTCTATGGAGCCACGTATCCAGAGCGGTGCCAATCAGCTTGTTTTTGGTAGATCGTCTGACCATTAGTGGGGGACTGGGATGTGAATAGCTTTGGAGTGATGTGGAATACTGTGGATATCACAAGAGTGAGCGTGTGTTCTGGCTGGGCGTGACGTGAGCAGTTACGACACTGGTGTTTTTAACATAGGTTGTGAATAACACGATTGGAATAGTCATACTTACCTGTGGACCGTGGGTCGCGATAGATAATGGTGAAGCCATGCTAACTTGTTAGTTAGGTAGTTTGGTGGCCAATAACCGCAGACTCTCTAAGAGTCGAGTTTGTCTGGAAAGATAATGTGTAGATTTCGCTGCATTTTTAGATGCGCTTAATGCTTATGGAAGGCTTTCTCTCAGCTTACTGCTTACTTTTTCACTTCTTACTGTCCTGGCACTGATGAGGCTCCTACCTTGACTTGGGGCAGAACACACCAAATCACTAGAAACATCGAGCGTTTTCCATTCGTTTTTCGGCTGATTTGTTCTTTTCTTTTGCCAGTCACTCCGTCTTTTTGTCTGTTTGCCTCATCCCGTGCCAGCCCTTCTTTCGAACCTTCCACCGACAATCGTATGATTGGTATCCACATTGCAGGTACCCGTCACTTCCCTTGTCGACCTGTCTGATGTTCTGTATCGCTGCTGTCAGGCCGGTGCCGATTCCGGTGACGCCGGGGGTAGCCGCGGACCACGGAGCCGACTCCTCAGACCGCTGCTGCCAGACCGAACCCTACCTGGACCGGCGACCGCGCACCCTCTCCGTGGGCTGCCAGTACGAGCCGCCTCTCATACGACCCCGCCGTATCAGCGATCGGGGTCCGGACCCGGGCGCCGCCACGCCCAGTCCGGGCAGCACGCCCGGAGCCGGACCGGCGCCCGTGATCGGCCCGGCGGCCGGCACCAGTCCGGGCCGCGCGCCGCCCGCCCACCGGCTCACTCGGCAGTATACCCTCGACGCTGACCAACTGCGGCAGCGTCGGCAAACGCCGCCGGCAGCGCCGCCCAGCGGGCCGGACAGGAGGCTCAGCTTCGACCACTCGCGGGAGGGCGGCGCCACGGTGCGCCCCGAGCGGCCGGAACTGCCCCGACGGCTGACTGAGGAGCGTGATGACGGCGCTGGAGGTCTGGTGCGGGGCAGCCCGGCTCCCGACACTGCTCCGAGCGCTGAGGGAGCACCGGAGCCGGCCAACGGAGCACCCCCGGAGCCGCGGGAGCCGCCGGCGGGAGCGCCGTCCGCGACAACGGAGGAGACCACCGACACCCATCAACCTACCGGCACTAGTCCTCTGAAGAAACACAAACCGAGACTGGCCTTCCTCAACCGCACCAAATCCCTCTCGCATCTGTTCCACAAGAACGGCAGCGGCGGTGGCAGCAGCCGACGGCGGGAGGCGCGCCGTGCGGAGGAGGCGGCGGCGCTCACACCTCCTCCGGTGCTCGGTGAACTGAGTGTGTTAGACCCCGACCAGCTGGTGTTACTCTCGGACATTCAGAACAACGACCCTCGGGCCTAGCTGGGTCGCTGGCTGAGCCGAGGCGGGTAGGGTTGTGTCATGTGCGCTGCTGACGTGAGGTGAAACTTGGCGGTGCCCTAACCGCGCAGGTGTGGTGTTGAATTGTGCATTGAACTGTCTGGTATTGAGCTGTGGCGTATGAGGGTCAGGGTCTGCGTATGTTAATTCAGGGACAGCGGTTGGGTGATCTGTGCGTGTGTGTTGCTCGGCCTCTCAGGCTACCAGTGAGCTTCCCTTGGAGTGGCGGCCGGCCTCTGTCCCCCCGCCCTGTGCGGCGTGCCTTCTCATTGAGTTAGCTTTGTCAGCGTGGTGGAGCGAGTGAAAGGCCGGAAGGAGTTGAAGGGCTTTCCATGGTAGATGGCGCTGAAGTCGAGGAAGTGAGAAAGGTGTGGGGTGGCTCGGTTGAGGTGATATGACTGGAAAGTGGAATCATGGCGCAGTTATTTTGTTATTGTTTTGTTTGCCTTGCTGTGTATAATTTACCGCATTTATGCATGGTTTTTAGAGCTCATAGCAGTGCTCTCATCTTGGTTCAGGGTCCATACTTGCCATGATTTGCGTGCTGTCGTCTCGTCCCGGTGACTCCGGTAGCCTGTGGTATTCGGTCGGCGGGCGGCCCTGCATACATTCCCAGTTGGTAGCTAGTGCTGAGCGGCGGCCAGGCTGTTGTGATGTACGCGCCACGCCGCGTCATGTCATGGTGTCACGTGAGATGTGTTCGTGTCGCTCGGCACACCGTGTATCAGGAAAATATACACCGATAAAGCTCATCGTGGTTGACCTTTTTTGTAGCTGAGATGCCCAATGGGCTCGATCACGCGTACGTACATTTAACACTGGGTGTTAACAGTTAACACACGCTCATCATTTCATATGAAGTACAGATTCACAAACATCTGAACTGTCGCAACGACGAAAGAGGGATCTGCACATAATATCGTTCAAATGAGAGCCATGTATGTCTGGCTAACTGTTGACAGTACTCCAGACGCCTTGCACTTTTTGTCTCAGTTTTTGTCTGCTCCCCGTGTCGTATCTGTTTGGCCACTCGCTGAGCCCTGCAGATGGTGGATCTATGTGGTGGCGATTTGACACGTCCTTCACGTTTCAGCAACTGCCGATCTGGATGGTGAAGATGGACCGTGCTTCTTAAAAGCCCAGTCTAAGCACGTGCTTTGCACTAACATTCAGTGTCTTTTTCAGCATATTGTCCTAGCTCGTTTTCTGACGCAAATGTATGTGTAACTAAACTAGGGAGATAATATTGTAATTGGCATGTTTATCGGTATGCCATGCTTCTGGGGTTTTCCGTACGTTGCCGCTTGGCCTTTCATTTACGAGCCGGTTGGGAGAAGGCTGTCACTTTTGTCTCCGCTTGATCATGTATGTAGACGATCAGAATTACCGGACCTTCGTTGAGCCCAGGTGAGACCCGTTGAGTCACATTCTGGAATGGGGCTTCGGTTCCGCCTGACGGGAAGCATACACGCCCCAACCAGAGAGACTACAAGGAGCACAAGCTACATCGCGGCCGTGGCGGCCGCGCGCAGAGGGATGCTAAGCCGCGAGGCTTCGCGTCGCTAGACGCCGAGAGGACAAACAACAACAGGAACGATGTTTCATGGACATTGAACGTGATTTGTAAAATGCTTGTATTGAAGACATACACAGTCAACGATTTGCGAATAGTGAACACTGCACTGCACTCGTTACACGAAGTGGGAACTGGTTGTCACACGTCAGCATTCATTTCTTCAATCGGCTTCCTCTTAAAGTCTGTCTTTCAGTTCCTCTGTGACCACATTACAGCGGTCGGCGTCCACCACTCTACATTCGTAATCCGCGAGGCAAGCTGATAGAAAAACACTCTGCGCTTCATGCATGCTGGAATAACCAGTGCATGTTGCGCCGACCGCTTCATTTGGATCTCCTGAGCGACTTTAAATATTACCAAACAATTCTATCAAGACTAGAACACACCAACCACGGCACAGTTACAGCTTATAGCGCTACCGACACCGCTAGGGAGGTAGCGTAGAGGGTCCGCAAACGCGCAGTGGACGTCAAGGCTGACCGGTGCAAACACAAACACGGTCCGCCGACAGCTCGGCGGCCCGGAGCCAAAGTAGCAGACAAGGCACTCTTTCATGACGTCTTTCATTGGATATGTATAACTGATATGTCTCATTTTATACTGAGTTGTCAAGGGACGTTCATTGACATGTTCCCGTCCTATGATGCGACTGATACGAGCATGCCTACATAGTTACATCTAGCACTCATTGAGTTCCTGAAAGCAGACTAGCTGGGTTTAAGCAATCCCTGAAATATCTGTGCACTCACTTACCCAATATTCTTGTCTTTTCTTGATATCAGACCTTCGGGTGCTCCAGATTCCATGTCACAGCAGTCAGCACCCCTGACTAGCTCGCTCAGTACTTGGTAGTCAGTGGACGTACTCGTTCTGCATATATTGTTGCATGCCTACGATGACGCTGGTGTGGCTGACAGGTGAGGTCAGCTCACTACCGAGGGGAGTCAGCTCAGGAGACGGGTGATCGGGTGGGCTCAACGCGTTCTGTAGTGAGAGTCCGATTGGCGGTGGCGCCTCACCAGAACTGCTCTCGGAACCGCCGTGGATGATGGGTGAGGTCTGGTGTTGTCTGAGGTGACAGACTTGTTGAACAGTGTCCTGGTGGTGGTGTAAATTGTGGGGGGATTGACCCTGGTAGTTGGTGGCACCGTATGCCACGTCGTGATACCTGGTGTCAGGGTAAGCTGGATCTGTGCTTTTTAGATCACTGTATGGCACGCTTTGGTACTGAGCCGCAGAACGATAGTGCGCGCCGTACTGATCCGGATCGTACCACTCTTTGCAGTCCGTCGTTCCTGAATAAGGAGTTTCGGGGAAGCCCGCGACATAGCGCTCGTCCAGTACTCTTGAAGTGAAGTGTAAACCGTCGGGACCGCCAAAAGTCCGATGTAGGGTTGGGCTCGGCACTTCAGGTGACGGCAGCGGCTGGAGATTGACTTCGCGTGAGATTGGCCGAGTGACCATCGACAAGGCGTCTTCAAGTGGCGCTGAGACTGTGGAAAACGTCTGATAAAGCTCCGCTGACATTGCCAAGCGCCTGTCCTGTCCAACATCATAGTGACCGAACGAGACCATCGCCTCGGTTTCGGACTGACTGAAGTCTGGTGGAGATCCTTTCCTCCCCAACCAACATGCACCATTCCCGGTGGCTCCATTCAGGGCTCGTTTTTCGGGCTCCGGTAGATACCTGGTGGTGTCGTCGTACCTCTCACACAATTCCTTTCTTTCCTCACCCATTGGCAGGCCACAGAGGTCCCCGCTTCCTGCAGGGCTGACCTCCATCGGCAGTCCGTCAGAACCTTCCCCGATCGGCGGTGTCCTTCCAGACCCTGGGACGACGAACGGAGCTTCAACACACCTTGCCTCAGCCTTGAACGCACCATCAGGATCTCCCGTCGTTGTCTGTAGCCGGGGACTGACAGTCGCTGCCTGACGTGGTGACCGGCCCTTGCCGTCGGCAGTCAGGCTGGTGTCGGCAGCTCGACTCCGATTTGGTGGTGATGTGAAGTCTCTGTAGCTCTGCTCCGGGAGTTCATCCAGCTGATGGATGTCCAAGCAGGTCCCGTCTTCCTCCACGCCACTGGCGAAACACGAATAATTTGTTGGCAGTGGCATACATTTAGGACTCGTAGCATGCATTCAGGAATCAGCAGAACAGATTCGACCTGTAAATAAACACCACGCTCCATAGAAGCTCTATATCCAGCTCATGGTTATAGATATCCACACTTAGCTGTATGGACAAATGATTTTTTATTAACTCCTTAGGGCACGGGTCTGATGAGTGATGACCAGTTCAGTTCGTGATAAAACGCGTCTTTCTGCTATCTCAGTTGTGATCTGGGACAGGGGAATGGGAGTATCCGGTAGCGAGCCAGGGGAGTGGGAGAGGAAGTTGAACGTGTCCGTGGCTTATCGCCGATCAAATGGCGGTGTCCACAGCTTGGCCGTTTGGAATGGGTGTGTCCTTGTCTGGGACAGAGTCGGGGTGGACGGGTCGAGGGATTCGCAACAGCGCCCGAGTGGACAGGGGTGCAGAGAGGGGCGTGAACTGTAAACGGTCAAGAGTCCGTGTCAGAAGCAAGAATGGGGCTGGGGTCGGAAAGGAGCAGGGCAAGTTTGAGGTATGGCTGGCGATAGACCGACAGAGCTCTTGAGGCGGAGGAGAACCTAATAAAACACATACGAACTTTGTATTTGAACATCCGAGACAAATGCACCGTCAAACCAACCTGCACCAAGTCGTACTTTCGGCCAAAAGCAATGGTTTCAGGGGGCACTATCACACGCACCGATCATTGCGAACCATCAGCGAACCAACCGATATACCGACCTGAGGACGTGGTTGATGGTGACGATGCAGTGAGGACGTGACGATCGGCTGTTGTGGACGATGGTGCTGTAACTCTGGAGCCACACCCAGCCGCCCGTCTTCGTCAGCAGTCGGTAGTACCGGGTCCGCGACTGGCCTTTGTACAACACTGCAGGTGGATTGCCAGGGGAGGTCAGCCATTATGAGATTTGTCGATATTTTGCTATAGCCATTTGGAGTCGGTATTGATAGGAACTTCATAATTAGGTATGCAATTAGTTGGCTCGAGCAAGATCGGAGGGCTCCACTCGTAAATGCCTATTGCGAACGATAGCATAGCAGTTTACGACACCAGAATTCCCTAAAAACTAGTCAAAATGTTTAGGAGCGAATGACAAAACTCACGTGTCCTGTGTGCGTGCACCACACTGTGGACGTCATGTGGATGCACAAACTGGTACAGGGTTTTCTCGATCAGGTCCTGGGGCTCGTAGCCGGTGAGAGCTAGCACCCTGAAACAGTTACAGCCGTCCCATAAAATATGCAAGATATTACAACAAAAATTACCCGACGTTTCGTTTATTTTAATTTTTTTCAAGGGTAATCATTAAATCATTCATTACCCTTGAAAAAGTTACAATAAACGAAACATCGCGTAATTTTTGTTGTAATATCTTGCATATTTTATGGAATAATTTTCACATTACAACTCAGTTACAGCCGTGTCACACATAGAGACATAACCGTTATAGGACCGCTTCCAGGGCAGGGCCGCGCCGGGTGTGGGTAGCCGTTTATAGCGGGTCAGTGTGAGCGGTGTATGCAGATTCGCCTCCGATTGCTGAAGGTCTGAGGCGGATGGCATTTTTATGTGGCTGAGTTATAGGGTGACGTGAATGACATAAATTAGATTTATACCAACAAAAAATGACCAGTGGTAACACCAACAGGCGTCAACTATCAAGGAATGATAAATTTGCGAATCGCAACATAAGCAATAAGCGTTTAGGTATGTTTAGCAGAGTCATCCCTGTGATACCTTCAATAGTTATTCAAATATCAAAAGAAGAACAGATTGTGCCCTATATAGGACATCACAAGAGCTGTGGAATCATAGACCAGAGACCTGCGCCGTGTAAGATCGCCTCTTATAATGTATCGAGTGGCGCTGCAGGGCTTGTCATGCTTTAATTCACTTAAATCGCTGATCGTTAAATATATTGCACTTGGGGCTAAGCAAAAAACGTCTACCGCTTTCACTATACGAACCACCCTTGTTCATAACGGTAAATGCACGTCCCCTTTGCAAAGCGCCGACCGCGACGGTGCTGGTTACAATAGAGATGGGGGCAATTATATTGCTGGAGTGGACCTCAATTTGTCAATAAATCTCATCACGGAGTAATACGCAGTCTGGACCGTGCATGCGTGGAACAAAGACATCGCCTGCATCGACTAGGGGACCTGAACGTGTTGACCCATTGTTTGATGGCGTTAGCCGTTAGTTGTTTAGGCATAACCGAAGCACCACTCATATGTGAATATCATATGAGAGGCGAGCTTCGTAAATGTCTGATTTGAATAACCATGCTGTGCATTCGTCTGTCATATTTCTGGTTGAGTCGTTTGAATCTAACGAACATGAGGCCTGGTCAATAAGTACCCAACTAAACCATCCTGCATAGTTTACAATGCACTAGTGTCGCCACCAATGTGTGCAGATCAGGGTGACTGTTTCCCTGGCGCCCGGCGATATCGATATCTCTTCCCCTCCCGTCCCCACTCACCTGCTATCAAGGAAGATGAGTTTCAGGTCGAGGCTGGCGCGGAACATGAACGTGCTACTGTGCAGGCGGACCTCTGTGGCGGCGGACGAGGGCAGAGGGTGTCCGACGGCCACCAGGCCCCGGGTCTGGGCCCGGCGGCACCCGGAGGCCGACGGGGCGCACTTTAGGTAGCCGCTGCAGTGGATGGCCTGCCGGACAGCCGAATGGGACGGAAGTTTATTTTTATTTACATGTGAATACATTTAGAATGTATTTCGCCTGAGAAATATTAACAGTTTTCCAGACCTCGTAGTGTACCCCAGTAGAAAAAGACAATATAATGGGACAGCTCGATCATGTCACTTACCTTGTATCCGAGGTTTGTAAGACCGGCGTTCCGTTTTGCCAAAACGCACTTCATGCGCACGATAAAGCTTCGTTCCAACTCAAACTCTGCGAAAAGATAAATATCGATCATGATTTGGAAATATGCAAATTGGAATTCACTCTGGTAAAAAATGAAGTAAGTGCTGCGCATTATGTTGCTAAGCGCCACTATCATCGTTCACGTCCAACACCCATGCGCACAAAATCACAGCCGACTGTTATCTTTCCTTCATTAGCTCTGACAGTGCCACCCAGACACCCTACCTGTCGCCTGCCCGGCCGGCCGGCTCTGGAGGGGGTCATCGGCGCCTGGAGTGTGACCCAGGACCGCGGCCAGCTCCTCCACATCAGCCTGATGGATGTAGTCGTAGATACTGTTCCCCGTCAGCTCGACCTACGAAAGATGAGCGGATTGTGTAAGTGTATCGTCTAATTTGTAGCTCAAGACTATCGTGAAACGTGAAACGTCATCCTTCGCTCGCAGTCACTGAAGTTTTGCCGTACAGCCTTAGCGCCTGGGCTGTATGCTATCCCGCATAGTCCAGTGCCGGCGGCTACCACCCGCCGAACCGGGAGACACCACCGCTGACCGGTCAGTGGCCGCGTCAGGTCGGGTCAGGGCGCGATGGAGCGGAGTGCGCTCGTGACTTTGTGTATCGGGTGAAGTCAAAGTGGCTGAGGTTTTTCTTTCAGACAGTTGACGGCTGTGTTTAGTGTGCGAGCGTGAGTTACGGTGGCTGCAGTGGTTTGCAGTGAAAAACTGACGGCGCCATGGGCATCCGACGCAGCAACACCTCCAGCGAGCTGACGTCGCCCGCTCGGTTCCTGGTGGACCGGAACCAGCCGGTGAGTGTTGAATCTTATATTTTTAACCTTTCGTCTCAGCTGTCGCTAAAAATGGAGCCATTTTTGATGATATACGTGTGACCGAAGTATAAGCTTTATAATCAAATTTTCTATTGCATTTAGATGATAATCCGTTTGTAATACGTTTTACCCCGTCTGTTTATCTCCAGGGATTGACACAGATAGTGACGTTTGTGTCATAATATCTCCTGTGCACGGTTAAAATAAGTGCTTTGTTTTATTACAATAACTGTATTTAGGTTTAGTGATTTAGTCTATCGCTTTAAACCGCTGCTCATATGGGCACGTTAAAAACACTAGACCAGATAGCTACTTTGCAGAGAAATAAAACGCAATGTTTGGGTAAAGATATTAAAGTTCGATTTATTTCTGAATTCCTTTGGCAAGGACAAGATATTCCATTGCCCTTGCGCGCGTGATACAGTTCACCGTCATTTCCATCACAGCTTGGAAGACAGAGACTAGCTCATTGCCAAAATATTGGCAATATATGTAAAGCTATATCAAAATATTGGCCTTTCAATATCTCAGTGATAGCCACCCTTATGGCCGCCATGTCCACCACCGTGGCCATATCCACCACCGTGTCCACCGCCGTGACCGCCCTTTCCATATCCACCATGTCCACCGTGTCCACCATGTCCACCGCCGTATCCACCGTGTCCACCGCCATGTCCGCCATGGCCACCGCCGTGTCCACTGCCATGGCCACCGCCGTGTCCACCTTTGCCGCCGTGAGCGTAGCCCGAGTACGACACCTCGGCATTGAAGCCGTCGTAGCCCCCGGCGTAGTACTTGACGTGCTGGGTACGGCCGTCGGGCAGCTTCACGCTGTAGTAGCCCTGGGCGTTCTTGCCATCACCGCTCTCACTGTGAGAGTACTTGGGGCCGTAGTGCGGGTCGTCGACGCCGTAGGAGAACTTGTACTTGGTGGGCACGCCGTAACCTCCCTTGTGTCCACCGCCGTGGCCACCGCCGTGGCCGCCCTTTCCATATCCACCATGTCCACCATGTCCACCGCCGTGGCCGCCCTTTCCATATCCACCGCCGTGTCCACCGCCGTGTCCACCATGTCCACCGCCATATCCACCGGCGAAGCTCTGTCTGGCGGTGACTGCCAACAGACTGGCAAGGAGCAACCACTTCATGCTGTGTTCTGAATTCAACACTGCTGGAACTGTGTTGAGACCTGCTCTGGCTTCAGTGGAGCCACATCGTCGTTATATACCTGCCCGCGGGGCTGTCCGAGGCTGGTGACCGGTCAGGCTGAACCAACGAAAGGTTGTTGCGCTGGCCCGGGGGCGCGGTTTCACGAGCGCAGAGTGCCCCCTCACGCATTCGGCGGCGTGGTTTGTCTCCTGGGTTTGGGGAGGGGGGGGGGGGGGGCTCCCCGGCCCGGGCCGTGCGGCGTCCCGGTCAGCTGAACTCACGCCAGAGTCACGGACTCACGACATGACACGGACCGACGCAACCTGACCTTAGACGCCGATTATCGGAAAATATGGTGCTTACACGGTGTGTCGGAAAAGCTATTTGATTGACAAAGTTACGATCACGACAAAATACGAACATATCGTAATGCTCGTTCATGCACATAATACCTTGGTAAAGAAAGGACAAAGTACGAAATTAAAACAGTGTGTTCGAGCCGTTTTTGCGCTTGCATATGGAAGTAATCGCATGATTGACATTGTTTATTATTTATGCAATTTGAAAGCTCTTATTAGATAAGAATTGTATTACGCTATGACGATCATCGAGAAGGGCACACCATCCTTACATCACCTCGTGTGCCGTATGGCGTGGGAACACCGCACAGCACAAAGCTACGTCCCTCCTTCCCTACAGCTGGTAAAATCAGGCCGATGGTGTTTGAACGAGCGGGGCAGTAACCGGGCCGCCTGGATACACAGACTGGAGACGACGTGTGAGTCGATGGCAACGACCCCTGACCCCAGCAAAGTTATTAAGCAGACACAGTGAAGTTGACGGCATGCCACCCAATGGCAATGACCCCTGACTTGAGTAAACATACCAGCGCTGACACTATGAGACGCCACATTTCACGGCCGGTTGGTGGCTGAGAGCAGATGGGTTGCTTACCTACGGCGACCGCTGTAGGTGTATTATTACGAGCGAGCGAGCGCAGCGAGCGAAGCGAAGTCTTTTCAATATAACGGAAAAATCTCAGTATGAGCGGCCCGACCCGGCCCGGCCCGGCCCGGCCTGTAACGCTTTTGAGAGGCTTATATCTCAGCAACCGCTGGACCGATTGGCCTGCGGTCTTTTTTGTTGGGTAGCCCCATCCCTTCTACCCCGTAACTGACTACTTTTGATACATCTCAGTGACCGTCATGGCACGTGCCACGTGCAAAGTCAAGGGTGTTCAAGCTGTTTTGCAAAAGTAGTGATTTTGAGAGGCTCATATCTCAGCAGCCGCTTGGGCGATTGTCTTGCGGTAATTTTTGTAGGATAGCTCCATCCCTTCTACCAAAAATAGGATACTCTCGATGCATGTTGGTCACCCCCAGTGCACGTGCAAAATACAACAATAAGAGGTGTCAAATTTGTTCCCATTTTAATAACTCGGTAATTACTGGGGCGATTTCGCTGTAACTTGGCATACAGGTAGGCACCCACCAGGCAATGCATTCCCATGTGTTGCGGCTTGGGTGCTACTGCACGTGCGCACGTGCAGGGGGCGTTTCCAGAT